AAAAAAAAAAAAAAAAAAAAAAAGGAACAAAGACAACAAGAAGAATTTTTCTCGTTGAAATAACATAAACTGACTCTCTTCATCTTTCTGTCGACAGAAAAACAGCGTCCTCCGCCAATTGGTCTACCACGGCAAGAAGACGGTGCCCGCGACCCTCCGCAAAGACATGTGGGTGCCGTACTACAGCGTGCACTTCACGAGCGCGCAGCTCGGCCTGCGGGCGTACCACCTGCTGCGCGAGTTCGCGATGCAGCGGCAGCTGGCCCCGCCCCGCGAGATGATCACCATCACGGAGGAGTGGCTGGCGCAGAAGCGGCCGCGCGACCCGCACAAGGCCGAGGAGTTCGACAAGGAGTGGGCCGACAAGAAGGGGTGGCTGATGAAGCCCAAGGACCGCGCCCGCATCGTCATGAATCAGAAGGCCACCTCCGTGGCCGACGTCGCCGCCGTCCTGGACATCCAGGCCGAGGAGATCGCCAACGGCTTCGCCAGCGGCCAGCGCGGCTACCTCAGCAAGGCCGCCCGCCGCCGCCGCCGCCAGGCCCGCGTCAAGGAGGCCGCCGTCGCCGCCGCCCAGGCCACGCGCGTCGCCGCCTTCGAGAAGGTCCTGAGCAAGCCCCAGATCGACTACAAGATCCAGGAGGTCGTCGAGGACGACGCCGCCACCGCCGCCCTGCTGCAGGCCGAGAACGGCGTCAAGATCCTCTGGACCGATCTCCACGATGCCCAGTTCGCCGCCCAGTGGCCGGACCGCGTCCGCCACGGCGAGTTGGATCTCACCCGCGACCATGTCATGCCCGGCCAGAAGCGCATCCACAGCGGCGACATCGAGATTCTGGCCGACAACGCCTTTAAGGAGAAGGGCGTCGAGGCCGAGGCCGAGACCGTCCCTGAGAAGAACTAAGCAGCTCGCGGGATTTTTTCTTTTCTCTTTTGTACTTGATGGCTTCCCCCGTGTGGGTATGTGTGTCGATATACATACTTGCGAAATAACCGCCTGTTCCTCTACATGATACAAAATGTATTTTTAGATTTTAGTTTTTTTTTTTTTTCCCTCTCCCTGTTCGAGGAGATGATGCGATGGCGTTTAGCACACAAACACTCAATTGGAATTAGTTCAATATTTCATCCATCATTACAGACGAATGAAAAGCTAAACGAAGAGGCGTCTGCGGAGGCTTGTTTCATGCTTCTTCTGGTTCAGACCTGCGGATCAAATATACATCGATATGTAGCGTACAAGAGCACCAGCTGATGTTTTAAGTTGAAAGTGACGTGGCGCAGCTGGTCTGTCCTCGCTTTCCGCGTTCACGGCGAAGCCAAGGGAGTCCAAGGCCTTAGATGTCAAATCAGACGGAAAGAAATGGTTGGGAGCGAAGGTGGAAATCGCTGGAGGGCATCCAGTGGAAGTAGAAAGGGGGAGGAAACGAAGGCAAAAAAGCAGACGGGATCGGGGACGGGTTGTTGCGACTCCTTTCCTTAGCCCATCGAGAGAGAAGAATCAAACAAAAAAGTACGAAGTCCGCGATCGACGCCAGAGACGCATGGTTAGAAAGAAGATGAACGGTCAAAGCGGAAGAGGGGAGCAGAAGCGAACATAAACTCCTTTGTAGCGAGCAAACGGGCCGGGTTCAAGAGCCCAGTCCTTCTATCGACTTCAAACAGAACAATACACCGCGTCGTAGTCCACTGCAGAGCACTTATGCAGTTGGATTTCTGGGTTCAGGCACTTTCAACTTATCCGCAATTGCGGCAGCGTTGTCTTCCTTCGCTGGTGGTGCAGGCTCGGGTCGCTCATTCGCCATCTTCTCGAGAATTTCTTCCTGGACTTTCTCAGCCTTCTCCGGATTGTCTGTAATTCCAGCTTTGGCCATACTCTTTCGAGCTGACTCAACAATCTTGTCAGCCTCGCTGACACCATGCTCAGTTTCCTGATCGCCTTCAACGCCGATGGGCTCAGCGGTGCGGTTGACAACATCCTTGACACGTTCCGTATCGAAGCGAATAACCATGCAAGAGAGATTGTCAGTGCTGAAGCGGGCAAGCGCGTGATCAACCAAGATCTTAGACGCTTCCTGGGCATCGGGCACATTCCGGATGAGGTCAACAGCCTCCTGGTCACTGCACACATCCCAAAGCTAGAAATTACTTGATCAGCAACACTATAACGCATAGTCTGGTGAATGGAAAACTTACCCCGTCGCAGGCCAAGATGATAAACTCGTCCGACTCTGGCTGTATAACGGTCTCTGTGGTGTACGGGTGTCCGGTTACAAGATCCTTCAGGTACGCATCGCCCAAAGCTCTGGTCACAGCGAGAACACCATTAACGCGGTTGTTCAGGATCAATCCTCCAGCGTTTGCTATCCGCTTTCCTTCGTTCTCGTCACTGCCCTTATGATCGTAGGACAGACGAAGAGCCTTGCCATTGCGACACAAGATAATGCGTGCATCACCAACGTTGGCAGTGTAGAGGACGCGCTGACGAGCCGCCTTCTCCTGTAGTTTGGGAAGTGCACCCGAGACAGCAGCCTGGGTAGGAGTGTCGCCCGCCTCATCGGAATCTGTATCGGCTTTAGCGGCGGCGGCGGCGGCGGATGCGAGGGCAGATGACCCCGTGGCGGAATGCGAGCTGGGTACGCGGTCTTCCCATCTCAACAGAGCAATGACGGCAGTACATCCACTGTTCTTCAAAGGCAGCTTTTCCAGCTGTTGATCGACGCTGGTAAATGTCTGGTCGAGAAGCTCCGGGACGGGAGTGCTAGGATTCTTGCGCATTACATCTTCGAGGATCAGATGCAGCTTCTTTCCGCACCACTCAGCAGCAAATGTGCCTGCATGTCCGTCAAAGATGGCAAAGTATCCATTGTCGGTTTCAACCACGCTGGTTGATTTCTCGGATGTGGGGGAAGTGCCAGTAGGAATGGCTATCGCTTTCGTGCCCGTCTCACCCTGGGCTGAGAGTGCGGGAGTCCCCAGGAAGTTGTACAAATAGGCATGGGTATCTTCCATAGTCCGGCGACATTTTCGATTGCGGTCCTCTGTGACGCCGACTCGGAATGACGAGCGTGCAGTGGGATGCGATTCACCAGCAGAGTTGTTTAATGACCCTTGAGGAACGCTCAAGGCAGGGTCCATGCTCCCAAACTTTGCCAGGCCAGGCTGCTCTTGAATGGTATAGTTGTTGAAGGAATTCTCACGTGGGCTGCTTGACAGGCTAAAGGAGTTCTTGGCGCTGGTAAAGAATGAGGCAGCTTTCGTGACCGTGCTACTGCGGCGCTTCTTCTCACTGCCAGGGCCCTGATCCTCACTTGTCCTCCGTGTGAAGAAACCACCTGGCGGAGAGAATTTCTTGGGGGTGACGCTGGAATCCTCGGTGCGAATGCTTAGAGGCGGCGTGTCAATAGCACCGGAGCGGGCAATTGTTGTGTCGGATCTATCTTTGGGTGGGCTCGAGGAGCCACTGAACATTCGGTTCAGCAACCCACCCTGGCTAGAAAAACTTCGGCGCTTACTTCCTGCCAGCTTGATTGTATTTCTGGAGATATTGGGGGGAGGGGTGGAGGGGGTTTAAAAAGAATGGGGGGGGGGTTTGTTGAGAGGGAGAAGAAGTGGCTTAGAAGGAAAGGGTGATTTGCGGAGGCGGCGGCGGCGGCGCGCGGGGAGGGGGGGGGAGAAAGCAGAGGGCAAAAGCCTTGGGTCCCAAGCCGGCGGAGACTGACGTAGGATGCGAGAGAGTTGAGTTGCGGCGGAAGCGAGGGAATAGAGCTGAGTAACCTGTAGACGTCAGTGCTGGGGATCAGTAAACATTCGACGCTAAGTAGAAGCTCCTGGATGACCACTGTTCCCAAAAACTCGATGGTTTGCAGCTAACAATGCAGAATAAATGGCTTTCGTGGTCCAACAACAACACCGGATGGAAGAGCATGTACAGTATGTGCTATGGGGAGAAAAAGAGTACGCCCGTTGGGCAAACATCATTACAACAGCTAATAGAAATGAACCACGGGGCTTGAAGAGGAGAGTCTCGGTGATTAAGACATGTCTGAAACTATACTGAGTAGTATATCCATTCCAGCGTCACGGACTCGTCTGTAGGCCACCCCCACTGCGCGCTCCGGAGACTTGGGAGGATGGGAGAGACAACACGACAATTTGCAATTTGTTATTGAAAATTAGAACAAGAATTACTCACGAGGAACAGGTGATAAAAAAGCAATCCACAAGGATGAGTGGAGGAAGATCTGGGGGAAAGGAAGTTGATGAAAAGGAAGAGGAAGAGAAGGAGTGGTGGTGGTGGTGGTGGTTGGAGGGGAGGATGTGGTGGTATGGCCGGAGTTAATATTGAGTAGTAAGGAAATAATTAGCTGGGCCGGGGAATCGGCAGTGGCAGTAAGTGCTCTCTCTCCGTAGTAGTAAAGTTGTAGTGAGGCGGGCGGCGGCGGGATTGTAGGGGGGTTTATTATTAGCACTACCAAGTACCAAGACTATAGAACAGTAGGCTGCTAGTCTGGCCTGCCTGTCCGTGCTGCAGCCGGAGTTCCTTCCTTCCTTCCTTCCTTTGCGTGCTTCTCTTCCATTTCCATTTCCATCACCGCTAGAGCCGATCGGGGGAAAGTGAGAGGAGGGACAGCACTAAAGCACTAAATTGGGGAAGCGGTCAAGGGGCATCGGGCAAAATAACGTGACCCTGAAATTGTGGAGACGCAGCGGCGATGACGACGACGAGCTTCAGTCTTGGCACCTGGCCATTTCGGCACTGAAAGTCCGCTTACATACGTAGGTCAAGTAACTACGCATAATTAGAGAAACAAAGCTGAGAGGGAAGACAACAGCATCATGGTGACACATGCTGGGTAACGCCACTCACTCGATGCTTACGTACAATTTTCCTAGTGACCCTGACTGTCTCCGCATAATTTTGTATACGTTTCTATATAATCACTACAACTACTGAGTAACAACATCATGCCATAACTAGTGATTTTGTACAGCCCAACTTAAATGGTACTATGTAGAATCAGATCTCAATCCCATGAGCTGAAATCTCCGAATCCCCCAGCGCCTCTCATCTTCTTCCGCACCGGTTCCGGCTCAGGCTCATCATCCACATACTCCACAATCTCATCCTCCTCCTGGCCCGCCCGTTCGGCCAGGGCGGCCTTGAGATATTTCCCTACACCGGCCGAGCCCTCCTCTGCAGAGCCAGCTCCGGCACCACGAACCCTTTTCCCTGTCCAGGTCACACGATCGTCGTCCTCACGGCGTGCATTCTGTTCCTCCTCCGCCGGATCGGTGAGTTGACCCTTGGCCTTGGCCTCCTCCGCCTGCTTCTGCTTCAGGAATTCCTCGAAGGGGTCCACGAAGATGGTCACATCGGTGATGCGGATGTCCGGGGTGGGTCGGTTGGTGGTGGAGTTGGTGGGGTGCGTCTCGAGTTTGTTCAAGGTCGGGGACGATGGGGTCGGGTCGTCGATGACATGACCGAAGATGGTGTGTTTGTTGTTCAGGTGAGGAAGGGCGCGATAGGCAATGAAACTGGTGGCGTGCAGGTCAGCGGTGAGGTTGGGAAGTCGGCGACGCCGGAGAGGTGCCTAAATCACTTACAATTGACTGCTGTTCGTGTTCTTGCCCTTGTTGGCCATACTGAGCGTGCCGCGAGAGTCGTGCTTCAGAGGCCCCTCGAACTCATCGTTGAAATACTTACCCCAGATACTCTCGCCTCCGCGCCCGGTCCCGGATGGATCACCGCCTTGGATCATGAAGCCCTTGATGTTGCGATGGAACGTGACATCCTTGTAGTAGCCCTTCTTGGCGAGCTTGATGAAATTCCACACGGCCTTGGGTGCATATTCCGTGTGCAGTTCCAGGTTAATGTCCCCCGACGTAGTCGAGATGCGCGCATAGCCCTTGTGCTTGACGCGACCCCTCTTCAGCATGTATTCCTCGTCTGAAAGCAGTGCGAGGTCGGCGGACGTGTGCGGGGTCATCCCCGTGCTCGTGAACGAGGCAGCAGCCAACCCCGTCGTATGCCGTGCGGCATTATAGGGTGTGGCTTTCCCAGCAGCTGGCTTCTTAGCCTGCGACATGGCACCAACAGACCCAGGCCCAGCCCCAGTCTTGGACACGGAGGCAGCAGCCGCACCGGCGACGCCCGCGCGCTGTGCCCTCTCCGAGCGAGCCTTGGCCACCGCTTCCCTTGCTTTCAGAATCTTGGCCGAACTGCCCAGAGCGTTGGCATTGACATTGTTGGCGGGGTCCTCTCGTTCCCGGATCTGCTCGTCGGTCAACCCGCTCTCGCCTTCCTTGATGTAGTTGAACGAACTGAGGTTCCGCGACTCGATGTTTTGCGGGTCCTGCAGCGTGATGATGTCCTTCCGGGTGAACTCTTCATCCGTAACCAGATCCTTCCACAGCTTGCCCTTGATATTCAGCCGCTCGACCGTGTCCCACGCGAAGACATTCCCCGTCGGCCGCAACGCGACAATGTGCGTGTTGTCGGTGAAAACCTTGTACGTTACGGGATCGACGTATTCGCCCGCCTCGTTCTTCGCCAGGTGGAGCTTGATGAGATCGGAGGTCTTGAGGGGCGTCCCATTCACGGGGTTCGTGCCGTGCTTCTTGATCCAGGGAAGGATGTTGGTCAGGTCGAAAATTGTACCCTCGTGGGTGCACACCGGATGCGCGTACGGTTGGAGGGAGAGCGAGCAGAAGTTGAAGGGCAGGCGCTTGAAACTAGTATCGACACCACCGCGTTTCGAGCGCGAGACGCCCGCTCCCGCGCTGGCGGAGAATGCATCCTCCGACGCCCATTCTGAATGCGTGATCTGTGTTAAGACTTTTGGGTCAGCCCAACCGCAAATGCGATAAGAGATTAGGAACGCGCGAAAGCGCAAATTGGAGTTGAGGTAGAGGCCTAAGACAACCTACATATAACTTATCCGTTCCTAGAGTCTGTTAGCAAGCTCTAAGACTGAGCAGATCCCAGGAATGGAGTCGAACGAGGCTTACCTTTACCCATCGTTGCGACAAAAGCTCCCAAGAATTTGTGACAGCGCCAGCTCTCCTCCGCGGGTTTGTCGCCGCTCTCCAAGAGATGATGTATTGGGGTGACTGAGCCTAACCTATTCGGGTTAGATTGTCTTTTGAAATCTATACCGTACAGCACTTGTTTACATCTCCCGCTCTGTTCTCCGTTACGTTACTGATTTTAGTGTATGTATATGTCCATTGGTGGTGCTTAAGACATAACAAGCATCAAGCTGTACAGTGTACATATCTATGGGATGCTTTGTTTATGATGACAAGCAGAGCTTTGCGATGTAACCATTACCATCAGCATATACCACATCACAGAGCTACTTCCCATATAACTCCCACCAAACATTGAAATGCAAAGATGAATCGTAGAAAAGTCCAGGATCTCTCCACACCTCGCTGGCTGCATCGCTTGAATTAAGATCTATTAGCACCTCAAAAGCCCTTCTATATCACTCTTTGACTCCCTTGACACAAAGTACCCCATGAGTTTCCGCATGCACCCCTTGAGCAATACTCGATCCAGCAGAAGCCAAATTATCCTCCTCGACCACCCACGAACACGGCAACTATCTCGCCCATCATGCTTGTCCTAGCCTGCGACTTCAAGCTCTATGAGGCGAGGCTGGGCGCACAGCTGGTGGTTACGAGTGGTATCCGGCGGATAGCAACAATATGTGAACCGCACAAAGTAGACTAATTGCGATAATTCATCACCTTCACTCCGGGACCAGAAGAAGCTGCTTGCACTCCGGAGTTGAGAATAAAAGAGGCACCTCAGTCGATCGATGGCTCAGCCCCATAGCTCTGCACCATGTGAACGCAGATTAGCAAGCATGCAACAGGATGCGCGGTTGAGGTCTCGGTCGGTCTGATACTCGATGGGGGTGACAAGCACGGCAAGATCAGGAGTTAGAAGGTAGCATTAGACATGAAAATAGAATGTACTGGAGAAAATGTTCTTGAGGTAAGCTGGGCGCTCGCCTTGTGGATGGCTGAAGACATAATGCAGCACTAGTGCAAGGGCTTACATTGATTGGGGCCCTTGTTTATAGCAGGCTGGGAGCAGATATGGTGGCCTGGTCTTGACTTGGAAGCGTGGAGTGAGCACGCAGTTGCGTGTGTCGAGCGAATCCCGAGTGATCCTGAATTGCGACGAGCCGGTGATGGCTCACCCAGAGGCAACATTGCTAGTAATATCAGGCAGCAGTCCAAGCCGCGCCCCAGATATCGCAATGAAAGGTAGACCGATATGGCGACGAGCCTGTCGATAGGTATAGTGAGACAGTCTCCCTGGATTAGGCTCCCGCTGGCAAAGGCTGCAGCGAAATAGCCACGAGGCTCTTGGAATAGAAAAGTCGGTGTCCTCCAGACATCATAGACCAGATCCTCAGAGATGCTATTTCGGGATCGAGCCACAAATTGTTTAGCGATACCCCAGAGATGGCGCAGACAAATTGTGGGTTACGCGGTAGGATGTAGACGAAGGTGATGGAGCCTCAAGTTGCCTGGCAAACGCGATACTCGTTTGGGAAAGAATTATCGGTTCACTGGCAACCAGCACTAAGATACGTAGTCCCATACAGTACCTAGTAGTATCAACAACATCGAGTTTCGGTGAGCAAGTCCATCCACTAGTCACTGTTTGTTGTGAAGTCAAAACCACCAAACTTCCATCTCTTCAACTCCAGCACGTGAATCCTCATCTTCCAACCACCCTCTTGTGTACATCTCAAGCCAGCTTAGTTCCCAATTCTCTGAATTGAGTTCATCCATCCATCAAATATGGCAGATGAATCAGTCGCAGAGGATTCAGTCGATACCAAGTCAACTCCCCGCATCGAGTTGAAAAAATATTCCGAGAGTTCGGATCACCGTGCCTTGGGATTGCCGGAGCCCGTCCGTCGCTCACAGACATTAATCTACTACATTGACAACGACAGATGGTGGATCACAGTGACGCTGCTAGGCCCTATCGCTAAACTTCTTGGAAACCTTGGAATACAGCAGCAGCAGCAGCAGCAGCAGCAGCAGCAGCAGCAGCAGCAGCAGCAGCAGCAAGAGCAGCAGCAAGCTCCGTACCGTGAACGACGCGAATTCTTCCGAAGCTTCGTCCAACAACTTGATTACAAGACACTTCCTCTCCTAGCCGACACCGTGACTGAGATCATACTGGGCGATTATGAGAAGGATGAGAATGATGAGAACGATGAGAACAATGAGAATATCACAACGCCAGGACTAGAGGTTGAGGTCACAGTGGGCACTACCACGAACATGACGGATACAAAGGGCGATGCCATTCCGATGTTCTTGAGATGCAGAATTCAAGAAGACCCTCTTAGAGTGGTCTATCCATCGTGCGACGAGTTTCCCTCCTTCCGCAAATTCGACTATGAGGAGCTTACGAAGGGTGCGAACATTACGGACTATGTATACTGGGTCAGCAACGGTGGGGCTCAGTATGTCCTCAAGAAGGTTGACCGTCTTATTTACTGGCCCGACGATACCGAAGTCATTCGCAAGGAGCTGGAAAATCTCGAGTATTTCGCGGGGGTGCCGAATATTGCGCAGGCGGCGGGGGTCGCGGTATCTATGAACCCTTACCAGACATCAACTACAGGCGAGAAACAACTGGTGATACTTGGAATCCTGCTCAAGGCATATCCTGGTGGATCACGAAAGCAGGTCCTTGCGGAGCGTCGTGTCGCAGAGTACTGCTGGGAGAAATGGGCTGTTCAAATTGGAACTGCATTGGAGTGCTTTCACAAGGCTAAAAAAACCCATATGGACCTAAAACCTTCGAATATTGTTCTCGATAATGAGGGGAATGCAGTGTTTATCGACATTAGCGGTATAGGAGGGTTCACTTGGGAGTGGTGTGCACCAGCAATTTGTTATGAAGGCAGATCTTTGCCCTTTGAGTATTCATTTGAAGAGCGCCAATTCAACGACATTTGGGCTTATGGGAAGATTCTCTCTGAAATTGCATCACAGGCAGAAGATGGCCCGTATGCAAAGACGTTGCACCAGGTTGTGGACGCTTTGATGGTGGATGATATCGGGACACAAACGAGTTTGTCGAGTGCGCTATCGCAGCTCAAGGGTGTTGATAACCAGGCATGACGTACAATATTGAATCAGTCGTTGTAGTCGTCCCAATTGATTGTGTTTTCATCGAAGTCGCCATCGGTTATAGCACCTGATAATCACTGTCACAGAGCGAACAACACTAAACCAAGAACGAGAACAAGAACCACAAGGCCCGACTTACCTGGTCCCTCTCGCTTGAGGCCGGGATTTTCGTCACAGCCAGCTGTGCCACACCAACGCCGAAGGCTCAGCGAGGCAACCTCGGTGACGCCAGACTTGCAGACGGACTTGCGGCGTTTGGCATCCTCGCATGGGTTGGTGAGATTCTTGTCATAGTGGCCACACTTGTGGACGCGGACCTGGAAATTGCACATCTTAGGCAACTATCGACCTGCGATAGACGAAAGATATGCCAGAACTGAAAAAGAGGTTGTTGACAGCATCTAGGATCGAGACTCAAGCTTCACTGCCAGATGATATTTCCTAGTACAATAGTAACACTACCTCGCCCCCCTTATTGACAATAGATATTCTTCCTAACACATGCTCAGCATTAACACAGTCGAAGAATCACACACTGATGCCAAAACGGGCATCTGTACTTCTCCTATGCTCAAATAACACCGAGTATCTTTGCCTAATTCACAATACTGGAAAGCTGTTCCTGAATCCATTCGCTGTAGGCCCCTGTTTCTCAAGGGCGAATGATCAGGCAGCAGACAAAGCTTGTGGGAGAGCGTGACTAAAGCTAGATCCGATCTACTCCACTGATGTATCGTCTATTCTAGCAACAAGTTATAGTACGCTTGGAAAAGCGTTGCTTGGTTGAGGGTATGTCTTAGCCCTAAACATTCATGCCGTTCTTAGAGGAGTAGCGACATTCCTAATGTATCTATTCCTTTTGCATTGCTTTATAAGAAAGGCATTCTGCTCTATGTAACCAGAATATCACCAGAGCCTAGGCCTATAGGATGAAGTCATATAGCAATCTCGAGTCATAAACCTCTTATGGTACTAGTAAGGAGTACTATGGAAATAGTTCACTTGACAACTTATAGCTAGCGACTTAGAAGCGGGCTCAATTCGGCTAAAAGAACTTGTCAATCAATTGATCAATCTAACAACTCCGCAGTGACAGTGCGAATGAACAAGACACAAATACAGGGCTGACTTAGACACAGACGAGGTTATCGTGGACACTATCGCGGCTCAAAGGTGCTGACAATAAGGCAGGGTGTGGTCATGCGCCTGTAGCATAAATGGGCACGGCCTCTCCATAGCCATCCCTAGAAGTTACCTACGCGGCTCGCAGGACGGAAGAGTGTCATTGATCTCCAGAAAGAAGGGCGGGTATGTGAATAATGCACGCCATATGTACTGCATATGGATAAGACCTGTTTGACCACTTGAGACGCTGCTGAGCTTTCTACTTGCCACTAGATACTTACCAGAAACAAGACAAAAAGAGAAGATTAGAAGAACAGCTCTAACTTTATACATGATTCAGTCTACAAACCTCAAGACTTTTTGTATCAAGAAACACAAACATCAATTATATCATAAACCTAGGGACGATTATGTGCGAAGTTTGTCACCCCGTTCATAGTCTCCGAGTCGAAGTTCCTTCGCTCCTATTAGTGTCACCTGCCTGCATAACGGGACATCCGATCAACTCACCTCTGGAGAGAAGCCAGCGAATTGCTTTGAAAGAGCTATGTGGTGATAGAAATTAAACAGGCTACTCATAACGTTCTTTTCCCAAAGGTAGGGCCTAGTCCCCAGAAAGATCGTCAAAATCCATGGACTTCTGCTGGTAATACATCTATCAAAGACACAATTGAAGCGAATTTCTAAGGGAAGAGCTATAGAAAGGTGACGAAGGAAGTATTTAGAAGGCGTAGTAACTGAAAGGGAGGTTCTACCCAAAATAGCCTTCAGTCCTCGGAGTCTTAAAGGTACTTCTTTGGGTGCTGTCTGCCGAGGTTGTGCCACTGTTAAAGCCGAGTTCACTGGGTGGAGGTCCGAAAAGGCTCGTGCCTGGCTTTATGCTAGGGGACTTGGAGGTAGAACGACCAGGGGTAGCTGCGGAGGTACTGGTAGAGCCCAGTGTCCCGAATCCAGTGGGTAAAGGTCCGAATAGACTCGTGCCTGACTTTGTCACAAGGGGGTTTGAGGTAGAACGATCAGGAGCCGTGGAAGTTGTTCCTGCACTGAACAGAGTATTTATGGCAGAGGAGTTATTTGAGGTTGGGACTGTTTCAGGGAACCCAGGGAACGGAGACTTGTTTGGAGTTGAGATAGACGATGTTGCGCTATCCGAAACGGAGCTGCGCGGAGCAGATCCGATATAAAATAAGCTGCTAGAAGAAGGATCCTTTGTTTGCTTGGAGGTAGCCGAAGAACGGAAAAAGTTTGAAATGTTTTGTTTTGCCTGCTCAAGATCATGAGAAGCCCCGGTGTTTGGACCAGCGCTCGGCTGCATTGAGACTATCCACCCAATTAGTGCTATTTGCAGTGAGAAGCCCTGCACACTTACAGAAAGAACTGTCTGTCTTTGAGTCCTTGCCTTCTTTAGCGCTTCTGATAGGGACTGAAGCCCGGGCGTTAGATAGATGGCCCTGGGCTAGATTGTACTCAAGTCAGTTCCTGCATGCCGTGTCCTGGTCAATAGAACCTTACTGAAAACCATGGGTTTTGATAGTCTGGGCATCTGTGTGCTGAAAAGGCGGAGTGTGCTTAAGCCTTCTTGTAATTTGCGCAGCTCGTCAGACAAGCGCTTTCGCTCTTGCTCGATCGAGGATGGTTCACTGGCGAGATCTTGAATCTTCTCACTGCTTAGGTTGTTGATAGTCTGGGCTGTGAAAATGGTTTCCAGTGGGGCGAGCAAGCAGTTCTCGATGCCAAGGATGGCAATGTTATCCACAAAGGTCACTATAGCGGTCTAGAAGAACATTAGATCATTTGTTATGGGATAGATATGCAGTTCAAGGTGGAAGATGTCACTAACATCATAGTACGCTTGCATCTGATCAATGATTTCCGACGCAGCGAACTCATTCCCCTCCGTTTCAGTAACCTTAGTAGCTTGTTTGAAGTCATTCAAGGTGAAGGAGGCATCAGCAGAAGCATTATTTGACATCAGTAGTCTTTGCTCCAGTGCTTGAATTGGCGGTCAACTCGGGATCTCCGGATTTTAGAAAGAAAGCTCTTTCCCACAGGCAGAGGATGTCCACGTTTCGTGTAAGCCGTCAATTCTGTGAGCTTCGCTAGAAGGGACTCTTTCAAGGTATCGAGTTCCGGGTCAATAAGAGACGTGGCTATTAACGAGTAGGTGTGCTCGGTTGTGAGGTATTGCAGGACAGAATGGATGAAATATCTCACCACCGACCAAGCGTTCATCATATGCTCACGGGCAATGTCCTCCCAAGGTCTTGCCTGGTCACGAAACAGATCTCCGACGAGCAGCTGATTGGCACTTCCGGGCAGCTCGATGCCTCGTTTGCGACGCGCTTGGCTGTTGATTTCAAGCTCGAGAGTTTCGCGGCTGACGCATGAGTATTCCCAGTCCTTCATATAGGGTTTGGCGCTCAACGCTGCGATGTCCGAAGATGATAATATCTGGTTCCAACTATGTATAATAGTGCGTCGTTTGCCTCTGATATTCATGGCCTCAGCGAAGCACTCGTTTAGCTCCCTAATCATTGCCCGGAGGCGGCGATAATCCTGATCCATGAGAATATACTCCGGCCCATCTTCGAAGAACCTGTCCGAGTACATGCCATTCAAGGCTTGACCCGTGACTTTCTCGAAGCCAGTACTTATGGCAAGAAGAAAACCTCGTTGTTGCTGTAGGGTTGAACGAGCCTCCCCGAGCGTCGTGAGTCTGCTCTGGCGAATCTCGATTTTCTTTTGGATGTCTGTTATCAACTCGGGAAGGTTGCGGCGGATATGCTTGAACAAGATGCTGCTGAGCCGACGACGAAGACTGTCGATACCAACATTCTCACGAGGAATCGAGGCCCACCGGCCCTGTTCGAAGAAAGCAGCCTCTTTCTCGTCGCGAGCATCATCTGATGCATCCCTCGTCTCAAATGAACGATTGCGTAATACATGCCAACCAAGTTGCAAGGACACTTTATCATTTTCCAGGAACTGCAGCCATGTGTCCTCTTCCTCCGAACTGGGCTCCAGAATATCTGGCTGGGTAATGATACCAAGCGTTCGCTCTCGCTGCGGGTCAAACTTTCGCGCCATGTCTAGGACCTCCTGTAGATGGTAGTCGGCCTTGGCCGTGATGATCGCGAGAATGATGCTGCGGGTGTTCTTCATGTATCTCTCGGTGATGCCCCGGACGATGCTGATGCCTTTGCGGCCTTGATCCTGGCTGGTCGAGTAGTACAGGCCAGGCAGATCCACCAACGTCAGTTCGGGCTTGTCTGGGCCAGAGATTTCCACCTTGAGCACGTCATCACTGAACCCGGCGTTCACGGATTCCGTGATTTCCATGCACTCCTTGGCTTTCTCGATCAGTGCGGGGAGGTCGTCGCCATTCGAGAAAGCCTCCGGGGTGAATCCGCGGAGTCTCTGTCTCTCATCTTCCCTCGTACGCGATGGACCGGGTTCGATGGAGACTTTGATACTAGTTGACGGTCGTCGGCGGAGAATGACCTCGGTCGCAAAGCGCGTGCACACGTTACTCTTGGCTGGGAATCGAACGCGTGAGATGGCCTCCAAGACCGAACTCTTGCCGCTGGATTGGTTGCCGCAGACAATCAGCTGGGGCAGCTCCACCAAGGCCCCAACGCCGATGGTGCGCAGCTCATCGATGATATCCAGGACTCGAGACTGCTCTGATTGCAGCTGGCGCATTGCTTGGTCGGCCGGTGATGGTGTGGTGTTCGACGTCATGATGCTGGTGACAAGGCGGCCTTCTTAAGTCCCAGGCTCGATATGTTAGGGAGGCGCGAGGAGTCAAGTAGGACGAACTGATCGCACAGAAGTCTGACTTCAGGGCAAAAGAGACCACAACAAGGACTCGGGTTGAGTAGGAGTTGCAGTGGGAAGTGAATTAAAAAACCACGTGCAAAAGAAGCGTAGCGCCTGCGCTAGAAAACCAACCCCGGTAAGTCTATCGACTAGACGCTCTTCCATAAGCGCTGGCCACGAACCCCGCCAGCGCCATGATAACGATTAAGAATGTGGAAGATACTAGCAGAAGTGATTGAGTTTCCAGCAATAAAGCTGGGTTGAGAATAGAGACGGGGGTGTTGTCCTGTATGATACTGCTGGTGAGATGGAGATAATGTTTTAGCAAAGGTAAGTATAGGGAAGCTAGTATAGTACATACCTGCGATAGTCGGTAAGTGCAGTTCCCCTTGGCATACCACAAGACTGGTAACTTCATAAATCAATATTTGTTCAACTACCCAAACATAGGGACAATGCTGGTCAAAGAATCATAATGTGATCGTCATGATGAGGGTTTAATTGCTAAAACTACAGCACTATAATACAAAGCCGCCGTCGACTCTTCGGTTTCAAGAAATCACGTCTCATGGTATTCTCGCCGCCTCCTCCTCCTCCTCATCACCATCATCCACAACGCAAGTACCCGATCTACTCTTCAATCTCCCACTGCCTAGAAAACGCTGTAAGACTTTTGGGGTCGTTGAATCATCACATGCATGCAAAGCCTGCTTTACACAGGAGGTGGCTGGTAGCGTAGCGGCACCACCCATCGGTTGCCAAAGTCGATTCCGTGGCGTCGTCGACTGCCATACTTCCTCCAGACGATCTGGGGGATTCCAATGTCTGCCACCGAGAGATTCCATGATAGCCCCTCTCCCGAGAGCAAGGCGTTGACAATACCAGTCTTTGGAGCGCCGAGGCAGACAACTGACTTGGCATTGATACAGACTCGACCGCCTTCCACCACCGTCGCTTCGCCTGTATATCATTAGAGACCAATCGAAGTATAGTTTATTGCCCAAGAAAAAGAGACTCACCACTTATGGCAGAAAGACCGGAGGGGACGTCTACAGACAGGACTTCAAGGTTACTCCGGTTGGCCCATGAAATCATTTCGAAGGCTACTGCTTGATCGTCTGTGCGAAGGTCTTCAAAGGCAATGTGAATACCAAATAGCGCATCAACCACCAAGTCGGGGGCAAACTCGGAGGTTGATAGGCGGGCTGAGAGATCTTCCCACCGATGCACTCGACCGCCAATCTTCTTGAACACATCGAGTTGCTTGCGACAATTCTCTAGCAGCTCGTTCTCGTGTTCTATCCCCAGCATACAGACAGTGACACGGTGACCCCTGTTGCGCAGATGGCGAGCAGCAGATATAGCCCGTGCTCCAGTCCGGTGATTGCCCGTGAGTATAAGCATTGTCGGGGCGGCCGCGTCACTAGTTAGAAGGCCGACGGCGGCTTCCGCAATGCCTCGTCCAGTGTTTTCTGTTATCATGTCCTCGGTGAGGCCTAGCTCTGCGACCGCGATCTGCTCAACCTCAAGAGTCTGGAGCGGACTCACGGTTGGGCAGCTTCTGTTGGTAGTCGTGAGCCGCAGGGACGCACCAGGCACACCGGGGCCACTAATCGGCGATGCTGAGACGGGGGTTTTATTCGGGCGTGGGCTGGTGGTTCGAGACGTGCTCAATTGACTGCGACCAAGCGAGTTGACCTGTGCAGGGACCAATGGCTGTCCGAGGATAGCACTGCCTTTACGAGAAGGTGGCGCCCTGGAAGATAATGTGCGCTCACGTCCTGAATAGGTTCCGCTGCTAAGCTTCGCATCGCTCGGTACGTGGTCCGTAAGCTCTTCCTCACTCTCCCCAAGACTGTCGAGAACGTTTTCCGTCCAATGAAGGTTCCTTCCACCGTTCGTTCCAGGTTTCGGTCTTCTGTTGAAACTAACCAAGCGTTCCTCATCAGCGGTAGTGTCGTCATTGCGAATCTCCTCGAAAACCCGTCTCTTGTCGAATTTGGACAGATTGCTCTGGAAATCGAACTCGCCCAATTCCTGGATATCCGTGGCATCCTCTGTCGCCCAGCCATTCGGGTCCTCAGCATAGCTGGCTCTGCCCTTCCTCTTCCGCCGCTGCTTGTTGCGTGTCTCCGCGAGTTGTGGGTGCGAGGGCTCGGTGAAGGCCGTCTGGCGCCAGCCTCTGGTCTTCGGGTTTGTGTTGGCTGCTCCATCGTGTTCGTTGATAACTTTGGAAATCTTAGGCGCACCACCACGACGATTAGTCTTGGGTCCGTAGTGCAAGCTCTGTTGCAGAGGGGGTGCATTTTGTGTCGCTATTCCGCTCTCGGGCGGAGCCTTGTTCACATCTAGCTCAAGGTTGCTGAACGGTTCATTGAGAACAGCAGCCTGATCACGAACGACTTGTTGTGATAGCTGAAGATTTTGGGAGCTCGATCTGTTGATGGGGACAGATTGGGACGATGGCGCCGCTACTTCTGGGCTCTGGTCGACTGGTTTCGAGGGAGGTTTCGAGAAACTCAGAATCGCTGGGTCCACGAAAGGCTGTGGTGCTGATGGAGCGGGTGGCGCGAAGGAAGCGCCCACTGCCTCCTTAGGAGCAGGGGGAGCAGGGGGCTGCTGGGCAGTGGGCTGGCCTGAGGGTGCTATTGAAAGGTCCGCAATGTCCGGAGCGTCGACAGAGTAGGACGGAAGCGGGTGACCGATCCACGATAGCTTGACTGAGAAGTGGAGATCATGTTGATTAGCGATAATTCTTGGTTAAACCTGGAGAAACTGGTTCAACAAAGCATATCAAGGAATGGCTCTACCTACCATTCCGTAGAATTAGACGCTGGCCGATGACATTGGCCACTTCTCCTTGCACAGTTGCATTTGGTGGCGTTCGCAGAGTCACCAGCACATCGTACCCGATAAATTCGGACGCCATGGTCAGTAGATGAGCAGGCAAAGTCCAAGCATGCTACGGGGCCAGACAAGAACAGGAAGGCCACAATAAGTCTTCAGTGTACAAGGACAGTGAGAGGTAACGAGAGAGTGGGAATGGTCAGCTTCGCTGTTACAGCTTCGGAGGGTGGACGTCACGTGTCAGCCCGGTCCTTTTTTTTATCGATAAGGTGTGGTGGGGAAGAAGAGGGAAGCTACGTTACTCTACGGAGTACGGAGTACGGAGTACTCTCGGCAGCGATCTACGCATATCTTCTCCATGGATATGATCCGAGCCTTCTCTTGTCTCTCTTGTCTCTCTTTTGAAAATCATTTCTTATATAATCTTATGAAGCATGCAAGGCGCTTGAGATCTCAGCTCTACTGGAGAGTTACTAACGGGGATCCTTTCCCCTTTATCTACTTAGTAGCAAGGGAGGTAGGGATTCGAAAGGTCTAGACTCAGCACTAAACAACGATCCTTCCCCACAACTTTTGACTATGGCTTTCAAACCACCCCAATTTCAACAGATTCAATTTCATGATGAGCAGCAAGGTCTTATTGCAGAGACGTCACGCTGTCGAAGAGAGATATTCAGGACCAGCCTCCCTGCGAACCTGAATGCGGACAACAGCATTTGCCCTCAGAAAAATAAAGCTTGGAACGCTTTCGCCAACTCAGAAGAGAAGCCCTGGCGATCAGTGGTGCAATATGTGCTCGACAACATCGAGAGAGAGAAAAAAAAAAAGGAAAAAAACAAACAAATAAGAAAAATAAACGGAGGATTCAGGTTCTACACACAGCGGTTAATCTACAAGCCCGGGCAGTCCTTTCCCCAGCATGTGATCTGTGCACAGGTGATCTGAATCATGTGTACTTGCAAAGTATGCTGTGCAGCGAGGTATGTGATATATTCGCAATTTGGTCTCTTCCTCGTTCCCACAGCAGCTTCCTCATACCCTTCTATCTGGATGCTTTGTATACTAAAGGGAAGCAGCAGGCCAGTCATTGTAGTTCTCATCGGGTGTCCGATAGGGTCCGTAGTGGACAGTCTTACCCCGATCATTATGGGCGAAAGGAATGCCATTCTTGATGCGTGAGATTACATCCTGATATCGTTAGTTGAGCATTAGGAATGAACTCGAAAACCCAGCCTACTCACCGGGTTATAGATGAACGGCCTCGCAAAGGTTATCAAATCCAGCTTCCTTTCCTTAACCAGCCGATCCGCTTCCTCGGGTGTATAGTCATGGTTAGCCATGAGCAAGGAAGGGCTGCCGGGGTATTTAACCAGAGGGCCAAAATCCAGGACAGGGTCGTAACCAATGGGCAGAGGAAACTCCTCAGGTCGACCATCGCGTCCAAAAAAGTCCCCTGTTCCTGCATTGGGATCAGCCCCCCGACGGCCGATGTTGATGATGCCTACCCTGCGGGCGACGAGTTCCTTAATCAAGAATGTGTAGGTCTCTTTCATCTCCTCGAAAGTGGTCGCGGAATCATTATAGGTGTCCGTTGGGTTGATTTTGACGCAGAGCAGCTCGGGTCCGCCGAAGACCTCGCTGATGGTGTCGACTAATTCAAGGATGAACCGGCAGCGATTCTCGACTGAACCTCCGTAATCATCTGTTCGCTTGTTTGAGCGACTGTGTGTGGAGCCGCCTTGGTCAACTTGATTCCTGAAGTCCTGTAGCTTTTCTTTAGAGAGAAATACTTACGTGTTGAGGAATTGATGGGTAAGATAACCGCTGGGCCCATGAAATGTATCAGTATACCAGCCCGTCACTGAGGAATATCATATCTACTCACCCTTGAGCCAGCAACTCAACGCCGTCAAAGCCTGCATGTCTAGCTAGCAGCACGGCGTTCCGATAGGTGTCGATCACATCCCGGGGATTCTCGATTTCCTCAACATTCTCCGTGTGCCCCTATATCAGAAAGTGGTCAGCGACATGCTTAGCAAGGCACGGGTGTAGAGGGACATGGTCTCATACCGGCTCGCCCGGAAGGTCACGATACTTTCCCCCTTCAGCCTTGATGCTGGAGGGCGCCAAAACACGTCCACTCTTCTCTTTCATGATCGGCATTTGATCATGCTGTATACGACCTTTAAGATCTGCATGAGTACCACATAGCAGCATCAGTCTCCACGAAGCTCATCCACTCACCCGCGTGCCAGGCCTGGAAGAAGATCTTCCCACCAGCTTCATGAACGGTGTCGGTCACTTTCCGCCATGCCTCAGCATGTTCCATCTCGATCATGACTGGCGTCCATTGCCAGTCGCAGCCAGTCCAGTCCACAAAGGTGCCTTCGCTTACGATTAGGCCGACGCCGTCCCTGGCTCTGTCGACGTAATGTTTGATTTGTGCTGGACCGGGCATGCGGTCGAGGCAACGGTTTCGGGTCATGGAGCCCATGACCACGCGGTTTCTCAGCGGAAGCTTTCCGCCGACAGTGACGGGCTCCAAGAGGCTTGGCATTGCGAAGTAGGTACTTTCGGGAGGTGGTGACTCGAACGATGGTCAAATTGGGTGGAAGATAGGAATCGCGAAGTTGAGATTGGAATTGAGTATTGACGATGAGGCGGACACGATTGCACTCCTTATATACCTAGTTTCCGTTGAATTCTCACTACTTCGAGAAGCCTTTCCATGATTTATAAGGAGATTATAATTAGTAAGGAGTATGGATGAGCATCCACCTGATATCATGGCTGGTGGTTGACTGTAAAAAGTGAGGCTCCATACATCGGGGTACTTTCGGGGCTTTCGGGAAAAAGCCAACCACAGCGCAGTTATTCCGATGTATGGAGAGGCTGTGGGGCCGCTACCTCCGCTCTTGTCCACCACTGATAACTCTCCAATCCCGATCTCGTTTCGTCACTTCTACATCCACCCCGTCACCCCGAAACAGCATGAGAGCTCCAAGAGCATGCCTGCAATGCCGGTCCTCCAAGCGCAAGTGCACTCGTCTGGGACCAGGTGAGCCCTGTAGCGCATGTCAGCAACGACGAGTCATATGTAGTGCTGAGTTACGAAGGCCAAACCCGGTGGGAGTGAACAGTGAGCCGAACCCCGAGCCGGCGGTCCTCAGCGACGAACAGCAACAGAGCAATGAGCCTGTCCGGCATCATCCCACAATCTTGGAACCTATTCAGATCTCCTGGGAGACCACTGTGGAGCTGGTGGACCTGTACCTCGCCAAGATCCACGATCGACCGCATAGCATCTTCCACCCGGCAACGTTGCGGGCTCAGGTGCGCAGTGGCACCGTGGGAAAGGCCTTGCTGTACGCCGTCTGCGCCCTCGGGGTCAAGTTCTCCTCCAGCACGGACCGGCGCGACTTAGAAGCGCGGTTGACTGTGGAGGCCAAGCGGCTGCTCCAAGCCGACATCGAGAATGTCTGTCTTGAGAACGTGCAGACTTGCATCCTGATCGCTACCCTGAGTGCAGGAAATTGTGAACCATCTTCGGAGGCGCTCTTTATTCGTACGATATACCTTGCTGCTTTCAATCTTTTCTCTACTTAGGGGCTCAGTTGATTCACAAATCCCCAGGAATCGCCACCTCAATGACCGAGATCATGTCACTCGACTTCTCCCCGGCGATGAACAAATCCATGATCACGCGCGAAACCGCCCGCAGAGTCTGGTGCTCGCTCTACGTGGCGGATCGTTGGTGTGCGTCTGGGCTCGGTCTCCCCCGTCACATGGACGATTTCAGCAAGCCCTACGGGCTGCCTATAGACGAGATCACCTTCCAATCTCTGCCTCCCGACACGAGCAACCATCTAGAAGCGCCGCCGTCGCCGACAGAACACACACCTCCTATCTGGAAACTCGGCCTTTGGGCGCACATGGTAGCGCTGGCGCGGTACTTCGGCCCGATCCAGGACCTTAACCGTCAGGTCGCCCGCGGCTACACTGACACCGTCGAACTGGACCAAGAGGTCCAAGACATAGGGGAACAGCTCGAAGCCTGGAGCAGGATGCTCCCCATTAACACGCAGATGACGGTGCCCAATCTACACAGCCACCAGAAGTCCGGACAGGGGGGACTCTTCATTGCTCTGCACCTGACGTATCACCACTACTCCACACTGTTGTACTATCGTTTCCTCGAACACGACCAAACTCATATTCAGAGCCACCACCGCAAGCAAGCCCCTCCATCAAAGCCATCCCGTAGGTTCCGCACCTACATCCGCCGCTGCAAGCACCACGCCTCCTCCTTCAGCAACCTTCTCGACCTCGCCCGGCAAATCAAGGGCTGCGAAATAAACTACCCGACCATCGGCCACATGACCACCGTCTCCTCCTCCGTCCTCCTTCACACTCTCCTCTTTGGCAACCCGACGGAACTCGAGGGTGCGCGCGCCGCGCTGAATGCCAACTTCGAGGTCCTGATCGAGCATCAGCAATTCTGGCCAAACACGAAAGCGATGGTATTTCCCCATCCCTTTCTTCACTCAAGGAACACCGCCAGGTTAGACTGACCTACCAACCAACCAGATCAATAGACTAATGACCTTCCAGAACATCTGCCTCCTCTCCACGGAATCCCACCGATTCGACGGCTGGATGGTCAAGTGCCTCCTCGAGCACTCCCGCCCGCTGGGCGAGCGCGAGCTGCCGTGCGTCCCGGCCGATGTGTTGGTAGACGTGGAGTCCGAGAATATGGCGCTCAAGGCGAGGGAGTGGGTGGAGCAGGGTAGGTACATGGACTTGAGCCTTCTGCAGTAGCAAGCCGGTAGTGCTTTAGCTGCGGTGCGTGCAGGAAGTTCTTATCTTTTCTTTTCTTCTTTGGGGGGGTAGGAAAGGGAACTTGGTGATCTCGAATTGAGTGCAGGAACTGAATGTGCTCCTTCCGAAGCACCAAATTCTTCCTCGATGCTGGACAGTATGTGATATCACGTGTTGTACTACACGTACCGATATAACACCTAGCTTTTTCACTTGCTGCTACTGCTAACAGATATAGACCAGTTTCCAGACGGCAGTGGTTCTGGTGCTAGAACCTTCGATATCACCAAGCTACGCGCTAAACAAGGATTGAAGCTGTATATAGCTTTGACCTTTTTCTCGATTCCCAAAGTATTTGGTATTCTTTCGACTACCCGGTCACTTCTCCTTGGTAAACTTCGAATGTTTCGGTTCCCTGCAAGGAACGAGCAACAGAAACCTAGTTCATAATCATTGCAACTCAGTGATATCCCCCACAATTCCTGATTCAGCCCCTAAACCAGGAACCACTACTGAACACAATTCGACCCCTACTCAGCTGTTGTTCTTCGGACGCGAGACCTCGAGTCCTTATCGCACATAACTGATGGTCTGAATAGGCGTTGTGTGTTTCTTTTGTCTCTCTGCGTTCTTGCGTGTTTTCCTACTAGTAAGAAAGATTCATGCAGATCTTCCCATAGTTCGACACGTATTTGTCTGGTATATAGGCTTATTATACCCACTATATACAGTAGAAGTAGTACTCCAACTCTGAAGGGGGGAGTAAGATAGAACAGCAGCAACCATACGTATTTGCTAGAAGAAGTGAGATGGGTAGGTACCGAGGCTCATGAGCAAAGCGACAGTGGGGTTCGTGGCAAAACAAGCTCTGTGGGCGTAGAGAAAGGGGAAATCCTACTTAGATACCCGGGGAGACAAAGACAGGGTAGGATACTACGTAGTAGGGAGAGCCATACCTAGCCGAGCCATAGGGCCCTTTGCACAGGTTTACAGGTATGAGTTCCGTTGAGCTCGCTTCCCCTCAGCGTCGGATGCAGTGATCAAGAATTTTGGTTGCTTTTTGGCCTTTGCCTGCTAGAGCTTTGACTCATGCCTCTTTTGTTTTCCTCTCTCTCGGGGGGATAGTATCCAGAATCAGTTTCACTAGGACGTAGTTCGGTAGGTATCCACTGCCTCCTAACGTTACACCCCCCCGGGTCCTTTTCTCCCATCATTCTGGAAAATAGTCTACGCTCTTAGTCTCCTCAGTGACACACACTGAAGAGTATATCCTTAGATCCTACAGCTAGTTCTACTCATGGTATCCAACAGAAATGAGAGGGGAATGTTCTTTCTTGACATCTATTACCGTGTCCATGCTTAATGTGCCCTTCGAACGATGCATTTGGGCAAGATACCACCATATATCGCAGTATCCAGTCCAGTCCACATCCACATCCATCCACATCCACAAATAACCACCACAATATACATCTCAACCCCTTGGAAGACATAAATAAATCACAAAAACTCCAGGGTATATGTTCCTTTTTGTAAAATCCCAACAACTGACTCAAAAAAATCCGTGAACGGCCTCATAACTCCTGTTTATCCAACGCCCAAATCTCCCAATGCTGCAGGACTTCCCACCCGACCCGACGGACCTGGCGGCGCCATTCGCGACCGCGGGGGTCCCGTATGACCTTCGGGAGGCAGAGGCCGTCCTCGTCCTCGATCGGGGAATGGATTGTCTCCACGGTGCGGGCGGGCGGGGTCTCCTCGTCGTCCGGGCGGCTGCGTTTGCCTAGGACGGAGGGTGGAGGTTGATGGGTGCTGCTGCTGATGTAGTTGGCGTTGAGGGCGGGGATGATCGAGGCGTTGTACGTGTTGTGATGATGATTCCCGTTGGGCAGGTCTTTCTCTGGTGCCGCAGCATAATTGAATTGCTGCTGCTGCGAAGGACTCTTACCGGTCTCGGCGCTTGGGGCGCGGGTGGTACTCGGGGTTTGAGGCTCGACGGCATGGCCATTCGACGGTTCCGAGGGAACGGTGTAGTGTTTACCGAGGAGGAAGGCTTTCCGGCCGAAGCCGAGGACTTTCAGCCGGTGGAAAATCTGCTGATCGGCGAGGGCGGCGCTGAACTTCTCGATGAGAATATCATCATCAGCGTCGACGAGGTCTTGCAGAGTGCGTGCTGAGGCAAGGGGGTTGGCGGAGCGGGAGAAGTGTTTGGTGGTTTGGCCGGTTAGCAGCTTAGACGAAGACTGGGTGGAACGGGCTTGATCCGATGCTGGGCCGGTGGGAACAAGGATACGAAGTGCGGTCAGTTGGCGGAGGAACGGTAATAGTAAACCCAAGGTGTCCATGGTCGAGAAGTCTGCGGCAAAGCCTAATTGTTCGAGTTGCGGACTGGCGTGCACAAGGCGCGCTATCGTGTTGGCCGACAGTGGCCAGCGTGCGGGGAGCAGGAGGTGACGGAGAGTGGAGGCATGGTTCGAGATGATATTATTCAGGTAGCAGTCGCGAATGGTTGCTTGCAGACTAGGGGAATTGACCGGGGTGTTTGCGGCCGACGAGTACGCCACTGAGCCGTTGGTGTCGGACTGCGGCGGGGTGAGTGCCGTGGCAGCGACGGGCTGTCGCGGAGAATTGATATCATGGCCGGGATTGGAGCTGGCGTTGACAAAATACATCTTCTCCAAACCCGTGAAATGACCTATGAAGTCGGCATGTCGTCGCGACAACGCATCTTGTCGGATACATTTAATGTGAATCTCAGTCTGCGGGACCGTCGGCCACGTGCTGTCCACAAACGTGTTCATCGAGACATCTGAGCCTATGTCATTGAGAATAGTCACCTCTTCCATGGGTTGCTGGGCGAAGGCAAGCTGAAACTCCTCGGTATGCAGCGCATACAGATTCTGCAGCCCAATTTTCCGAATGGACAAGGGTCGTTTCGCCGCGATGCACTTGCGGAAGTAGTCGTGGAGCATGACGCTGGGCTCCTGCTCGATGCGCATGCGCGGCGACCAGTGCAGTTTCAGATCCCGCAGCTTCCTGCACCGGAACAGCAGCGTGGAAATATCATCCGGATAGCAGAGTGGATCGATGTCGGTGATCTTCAGGGACCGGAGTTGGGGGATGGCCGGGATGACGATGGTCGGTCGCGGATGGCGGCTCGACGGAAACCGCAGAGTCAAGGAGGTTAGCTTGGGCAATTGCGCCAGCCCTAAGTACACCGTCTCCATCATCTTGGTGTTGAGCTCCCAGCTGAAGCTCTCCAGGTCCGGCATCTTGTCCACCGCCGCCCGCACCGCGATGTTCAGCATCATCGAGGAGTCCGGCACCCGGCCCACTCGCGCATGTTCCTCTAGCTCCGACTCGCGCCAATTTCCACGGAGCGTCAACGATCGCACCAGGTTGGCGTATGGGCGCGTGATGACGGCGTTGAGCCCCATGGAGAAGGGGCTGGCGCTCCCCATGCCCTCCGGCTGGTCATCACGATAGCGGATTTTGTCATAGGAGGACAAGGTGATGTTCCTGTAGAGTTGGGGCAGAGTCATGTAATTGAGTACGCGGCATGTTCGACAGAGACGAGCGAGATCACCAGGATCGTCGAGCTGTGATGTGTCTCGAAGGTTAGCACACCGGAGATCAAGCCAGGGCTCGTGGGGGACGCACGGAGGAGATAATGAGAGCGATCAAATTCAGCGGCAGAACCAATAATGGAGCACCTTTGGGCCGATCCGTGGTGACACTGGCTTCAAACATGTTCTGATTCACGGTCGCCATGATGCGACATCTGTAAGGGAGATTGGCGTGGCATGGACTGTAGCGAAAACCAGACAGCTGAAGCTCAGGGCACAGGCAGACATTTGATTACGCACGGGGACTAGCAGGAAGAAAGAAGCGGCGCGGCAGTGATTGAAGAAAGGAAAGTGGATAAGATGGCACGGAGTGAGTGAGCGAGTGAGTGACGAAGGGAAATGGAATTATGGAATCCCGGGGAAGCTTTTATGCTCGGCTGACTCAGACTGCCAGACCACCTCATCACGCTTAAGCTTAACTGCGTGAATTCTGCAGCACCCCCAAACCCAAGAGATACATTGTTATCGCTATCAGCATCTGATTGCATCTCTATAAGTTATCATCTTATCACTAGGATTGTGCCCCCACAGATTAGACACAAAATTTGCGGCGACACCCAGCCTCTGGCATGTCATTTTCAATGCACGGAACTCTAATTATGCGCATAACTCAAGCAAGGGTTAGAAGAGACACATGCTTATAGTGCTCATAGCCTTGTGCCTATCAAAAGACTTAATATAAATAAACTCCAAGACAACTCCGAAGTCTCCCCGAGAAAAAGACATCCCTCTCAACCTGCCCAACGGCTCAGACCTTAATCGGCCACGCCCCCAAGGTGAACTGCGAATTGCACATATTGGTCAACTCCCAGGTCTCGGCGCCCAGCACCGCGGGGCTGCCCTCATCCTCCCAGTCGCCCATCGCGCCGGCCACGAACATGGCGGCCATGAAGTGATCGTCGGTGGCATGCGCATCGCGGTACTCCGGGTGCTTCATGAGGCGGGTCATGGCGCGGCGCAGCTGGGGGCCCGAGGTCTTCATGAGGACGTCCTCGACGGCCTGGCGGAACTCCAGCGCCCAGGCCTCGGGCGGCGTCTCCATGGCGAAGTTGTCGCGGAAGCGCAGCATGGGCGCCCAGCGGTTGCGGTACAGGTTGTGCACGGCGCCGCCCGTGCCGATCAGCAGGTAGTTCTCGCGGCGGAGCGGGCGCAGCACCGCGCCGACCTTCAGGTGGAAGTGCGGGTCGTAGCGCGCGTTCAGCGAGACCACCGTCGTCGGTGGGCACCCGTCGGGGAACATCCGGATCAGGATCAGGTAGACGTCGTGGATCCATTCGAAGGTCGCGTTGCCGCTGACGTTGAAGCCCTCGCGCGCGAGGAGTTCGATGCACCGCTGTGAAGTCGCCAGGTCTGGGTTGAGCGGGTAGTCGACGTATTTCGCCGGGTCGACGTAGGCCACCGGGCTCTTGCCGGGGTTCGAGTTCGTCGCGACTTGGATCTGGTCGTTGAAGCAGTCCCAGTGGGCTCCCTGAAGGGTTTGCTTGTCAGTGTATGTGTGTAGGGGCTTGTGTCTCGGGTGGTTTGCTCCCTTACCATGATCACAACGCCCTTGATCCCATGCGCCAGTGCTTCATCGCCACACTTGCGCCAGTAGTCAGCCGAGGAGCTCTCCTCGCCCAACATCATGGTAGAGCCATGTGAGAAGAAATGGACCGGTGTGAGACCTATAGTTAATTAGTGAGTGTTGTCTGATATGCAATTGAAACCGCCCATGGAAACAAAAAGCGTGCAGTCCACATACCCATCTTCTTTTCCTTGCAAATAGACAAACTAGGATCCGCTTAGTCGAGAGCGGAGTCAATCAGGAAATGAGGCTAACGATCGTAGTCGCATCGTGGCTGGTCTGTCAAATGACTTATACTCGGGCGTTTACCCCGGAGGAAGTGAGGATCGGAAGAGATTCGGATGAGGGAGTGGACCACAAACCGACCACTTCCCCACGTGGACCACACATCACAGCCGATCCATATCTACAGTACATTATTGCGGAGAACAGGGGCAGCTGCGCACTCGACATTATTCATTCATGGCCTTTCATTTTTATTTTATCTACACATGCTCAAGTGCATGCTTCTAAGCTTGTTTATGATTCAACTCCAATTGCCATCTAGGCCATCTTCGTTGCAGTCGACTCCCTCACCACATACCCATCCTGTCCCTCGCCATCGTGAGATCTCGATCCAGATACTTTCTCCTCATCATCCCCTCTCGACTGAGTGATTTCATCTTTACTATGCTCAATCGGAGTATGATCCTTGATGACCAGCCACGTGGGCACCACCGCAAGCCCTACGACACGAGTCATTAGTCAATCATCCATCGACGTAGCTACAAAGCAAGAGCGAGAAGTCATACCCAGAAGAATCGTGTTCACAGCGAGAGGGACTCGGCCTCCATACCAATCGCGGGTGTTGAGGCCGAAGGATACGGCCTGGGCAAAGCTCTCCTGCCCGCGGAGGATACCCGAATAACGCGCTATTGTCGGATCAGTATAGGTAATATGATGGAGTCAGCACGTGGAGTACACACCCAGCTCAGAGATGTTGTCGGTCATTGTAGCGACAAGGTAGTACATGAAGTTCTGCAGAGCTTGCTGGGAGAATTCTAGGTCAAAGGACGATGTTAGTGGGGCTAGATCGTACTTCAAGGGGGGCCAGGACGCACGCCAGAGAATCACCACGAAGAACCCCTTGACAAAGTCCTTGCTGGTCCAGTCCAAGACTGGAGGGTTGGCGGTAAATTGTTCCTGAACAACCCAGCCATAAGTCCAGGCTGCGATGTGGACGACGATGACGTAGTAGAAACTATCGGAGGTTAGGGACGGGTTTGACGATTCACAGCCGTGGGCATACCTGTATATGATCCGGCTCTTGACAGGAAGACCCTTGTAATCTAGAAATCGACTGATGATCCCGGATGACAGCAGGCACGCAAAGTTGCCTGAGTAGCGTTAGCTTTTGATTGGGATTGCGGATGGATGACAAAATGAGGTTTCAGGAGGGGCAACGCACTAACGAAGCCCATCAGAGCTCGAGCTCGGACGTTGAAATAATAGGTTTCGAAATCTGCAGACTCATATCAGCAGGTGAAGGAGAAGTATAGATGACCTGACATACTGCCAATATACTGGTTGAAGTAGGCGGCCCAAAAAACGGGCAACAACAAGAGGACCTGGACGCACAACATGAGCATGAGCACCTTTTTGGCATGAAACAGTCACTTACATGCTTCTTACGGCAGAGCTTCCAGAGCTCGTGCATCTCAGCGCGCCATGAGCCCTGTGCGATGATCCTGACGGGACTCCCATCGCTACGTTGAACCTTTTCTGGAGGCGAAAGGAAGTATGCGACAGGAACGGCCAGACATTGCAGCGCAACGAAAATCAGATATACCTCTGGATAATGTGTCAGTCGGCGGTCGCTATACAACAATCATAATTGCAGCAACATACCAGGCTGAACCTTGCCTTTGCCCCCAGGAGAACTATCTCGAGTCAGCAACGTCCTGTCTGACTCTTCGGGGGCCCTTACTGATTGAGACCCAGGACGATAGCACCACCCAACAACGGTCCACCGGTCCGAAACCATAGCCAGATACTATTTTGGGTCAGTCATCCTCGAAGCAGCCGTTTGTGACGGACACATACTTCATATACTTGCCGCGTTTGCCCGGCTCAGGATAGCCAAGTGCAACCGCGCCCTCAGAAGCCCAGAAAAGTCCCGCTCTGACACATATGAGTTGGAGATTCGTAGTCGAAGTTCGAAAGTTTTGACTCACGATAGTCCACATGCTACCGACCCGACAAGCACGAACCATACATTGCCCTAATCCGGTAATCAGACACTTGACACAATCACAAATTCTCGCAAAGAGCACTCACATAGCGGTTATTCGTATACAACGCCGCGCTGCACCCTGTCAGTCGACCAGATCATTCAAAGAACCTCCAATCTCCGACACATACGAGTAAATCGGGTACCCAATCGCTCCCAGCAGCAAGGTCCAATTCAAGCCAATACGGTTGGCGATTGGGGCGCCGAAAATGCACAGAAAGCCCACTGCCGGAAGACGCCGATATGTCAGTGCACCAAGTTCGACTGCGCTTTGCACGGAACAACTCACTCAGAGCAAACACCAGTGCATTGGCAGCGTTGATCAAGAACGGCGATTCCGCGCCGCCAGCACCCAAAGAGCTCATCGCATTCCACAACCCCGGGGCTAAGAAGCCCACTCCGCCGATCACGAAGGCATTGAACAATGTAGTGTGGTACCATATCCGTTTGCCCAGCTCCGGGGAAGCATTGCCGTGAAATGCCATCGCGAAAGGGCTAGAGTCCGTTCTGATTAAACTCTCGACCAGTGATCAGCGCAATGTGCGTGTGTGCGAGCATACGATGGTGGTCATGGCTATTTGTAGGGCGACTCGCAAGCCCTGGTTGAGATTTTCATCTTTGGTGGCACAATCCTGTAGCATTCCATTCCAAGCATCATTGACGTGCAAGATGGCGTGCTTGCAAATTTGCCGACTTCCCATCTCATGGCAAAGCCTCTAAAGTCATTAGTATAGTATAGTATGCTTGCTGAGGCCAATGGAGGTGGAAGTTGGCTCTGGGTGAGTGGGACGCAGAGCGGGCTGGACCGCAATTGTCCTTACGTACTTGCTTCCGATCCTAAGCGAAAACTGAGTCACTAAATCGATAATGATCAGAGGAAATATGAGTAGGAAAGACACGCAATGCCAGCCGATGCGCATTCAATAAATGCTCCACAGATACTCAATTACCAATTAGCTCAGAAATGTTCAGAAGGAGACACAAAATCCAAAATGATGATATATACGTATATAAAGTCTGTAGTACATGCATCCCAAGGGGTATCTTTTTTTGAACAAAACTGCGCCAGGAATCTTCGATATCGGCGAGGTATTTCGAAGGTGTGAAAAGGCCTAATACACCAGCATCTCTTTTTTGAGATGGCTCCGACCCGAGCCCGTCCTGAGCAGGCGAAAGGAGAACAGTGAGTGTATAGCAGCCGAATAAGGAACTATCGAGACAATAGCTCAAACGATTTGATGGGGGCAAGAAGAGGACCGTGATGTATAGAAAGATGGTGTTCAAATCCGATACTCCCCGCTAATTCAAGCATCCATGTAAGCATTAACCCGGAAAAAAAGCAAAATCGCGTGAAATATGGGCCCTAGTGTGGAAAGATGTCAAATCATTGCTGATATCGTGCATCACCATTCGGTGGAGTGCCGTTAGATTGAGCATGAGGAGACTGTGGAGGAGGTGTTGGCTCTGTTGAAGTCCTATCTGCACCCGTTGGTTGGCGTTCATCAGTGTTCTCGTCCAGAGCTGGCTCCGAGGTGAAATGAGCAGCAGGAGTTGGAGCTTGATCTGGGCGAAAATCATCAAAGTCCACCAGAGCCGCTGCCTCGGGATCATAACGCAGTTCCTGATACATATTGCCATCGTCTGCGCTCCAGGGGGCAGCGCTTCGAGTTTGCGGCTGGATGACTCTCAAGGGCAGGTCCGTACGACCTTCAACACGCCCCGAGGGAGCCCGTTGACTGGAGTTTGTCGTTTCTAAGATACCACTATCATTGAAATGTTGCGGCGACCACGTTTGCTGTCCTCGTCGTCTCGCAGGGATGACGGTGACTGGTAATGGAGAACCTGAGCTCTGACGTCCAGAACCGGGTCGCAATCGTCTCGGGATCGGGAAGAAAGCTCCAGCTCGATTGCGCCGAAGGTTGTGCTCATCGTCACTGTCGTCCGAAGGAAGGTCGGGGAGGGGATTATCTTCTCCAGCAGGATGTGATCCAGGGGCTTCTTCCCCGGCCTGTGCTGAAGCAACCTCCCTTGGCAGAGATGCACGCCTTCGTTTGAATGGATTCAATAAAGCTCGCCACCCTTTGTCCAATTGAACGATTTGAGGAGATTGTTCTCTGGTCTGCTGCTCCGACAATCTATTATGAATTAGATCAGCTTGTTGGCTCTCCATAGCTGTTGCCATCTCCTTCGCAGCCAGTTCATCGTCCATCCCCTCTTCTTCCTCTTCCATATGTGGCATGGCAACTGGTGGCGTCGGACTGGATACGGGGTGATAATGCACGTTGTACACGGTACTGGCTGCACTTGTAGTATCGGCCCGACTGATGGGGGTAAGGGCCGCAGGTGGAGGTGTAGGCCGCGAAACAATCCTCCGGCGCCTAGCGTCAGCGGATGCAATACTTGTCTGGTTCTCCAAGTTAGACTGCCAATTGCGCCCACCTCTGGTTCGCAGAGGACGATGAGCCAAGCCCATCATGCCTCCCCAACCAGAGGACATGCCAGCACCACCGCCGCGATCATTGTTGTTGGGGTTGTAACGAGGCCAATCGACCTCCTCTGAAGGAGTCACTTCGAGCATTTCGTCTCCATCGAATATCTCCCGTCCCAAGATACCATCCTTCCGCTCATCTCTTTCCAGCGCTTCGATCCGTTCCACCCATTCCCAGACAACGACACTCGCTGCAGCTGATCCGACCCATCGAACATAGGTACCCCACCCGGCAACCTTCGGCTTCGCCATATCCAGAACAAAAAAGACGACCGGAATAAGGACGGCGCACAGAGACAAAAGAGCCACCAAGCAAATGTTCCTCATTTTCGGATGAAAGAAAGCGAATCGGTGTTTCGAGAGAGAATAGAAAATGACCCAGGCGGCGTAGAGCAAGTTCAAAGCAAGCTCGAAAAGGTAACTCAAAGCCGGTATCGCGTCTTCGTATAGTCGCGGACGCGTGGTATGAGATTTCACCAGGAATTTATCCAGGATGCTGAATGTGGTATCGAACACGATCAAGGCGAATCCTGCCCACTTTATCATGACCTTCTCTTTGTGCCGGGGAAAGAGGCGAATTAGAGTCTGAACTTGAGCAAGCCAGAGGAACGTGCTCGAAATGACTCGAACAACTCGGATCTCCATCCCATCAATGACTTCGTCCGCTAACGCCTCAGCATCAGAGTACCCATAGTAATACTGTTGTTCGGCGACCCGGAATGAATCCACAGTAGCAATTGTGAGCGATACAGCAACCAGCAGCGCTGCGACTTTCTGTAGCCAAGGTCGACCACCCACGCCAACCACCGAAGAATTCCCGCTATATGAACCGGTGATCATGCCGCGCCTTCCCAATAAGTTCGCACCACCACCGGGACCACCAACATAGAACGTGCGCGGCGTAATGAGAAGAATGATTACGAGCAAGTAGCTGACCACAGTCGTGCAGCCCATAGCGTACAGTTGGGGCGCTACCGAAGAGTAAAAGGGGTCGGTGGTGTCAAGCGCCGCGACAGCATGTTGCGTGGCAGTCGCTGTACTGGTACAAACCGGTTCGTAGATCGCATTTTCGGTCAAAGTAATCGCATAGGAGCGGTTCAGGTAAACATGGCCTGGTTGAAGCGCCGAACCCGCGTCAGTTTCAATGTCACAGCACGGAGAAAGCGGGGGAGGCATGTGCCACCATCCGGGGTCGAGGAAGGTTGCCTTCCCCGAAGACTATTTGGCCTTGACATACCATCGCTAGGTAGTAGAAACGGAGTACAGCCTGATTCGTATGTCCTGGTTGTAGTTGTCGTTGGCTGAACCCAAATCTGGCGAGGGGCCAGGTGCCCGTCATTCTCCATAATCGAACAGGCTACCAGGACGTTTCACGTCGCGATCAAAGCAGGCCACACACGCCACAAAATCATATGTAGGAAATGTCATCAATGCCAGTAATAACTTGTCGTCACACAGCAGGTTCAGACACCCATAATGGCGATAGGTCGGAGGCGCTCTATCGATTGCCGACGGTCGGGGAATGCGAGCAGAGCACGGAGCGATCGTGTTCGTCTGCAAAGGACCTTGGATTGGGGGATGCTTCGACTTGATGGTGGGTCTCCCAGCAGATATCGCACACAGTGGAAGGGCTCAGATAGCGACAAAGATCGACAAAATGAGTAACTGAGACAGATCTATGAAGCAGACTTGTATTTGGTCGAAGGTGAAGTCCGACAGAAGAACCGCCACCGCGGTCCAGATTCCCCGTCCAGGGCTCACCGCCTAAAAGGGGGGGGTCCGGACCATCATCACCAAGAAAGACATGACGTCCTCGTTCCATTCTCCCTCTCATAAGCAAGCTAGAGTAGGACTTAGGAGTCAGCATAATACTATCGAAATTTGCATTAACGTCACTCAACAGGTCGAAAACGTCTCGAGACAGGACGGTGTTATCTATTTCGATGATCGATATATATCATGCCCCAAGACGGAACTATCGAGGCTTGTATTTGTGGCATGCGACAGGTCATAATGTACGTATAGAGCATAGTACGAAGGAGAGAGTAGAATATATTGAATCAATTATATGCTATGATAGAAGTATCGGACATATATGTCAGTATGCACGCTTGGTTGCTGGGCGAGGACACCGCTCAGTCGAATACTTATCCAATGCCTCGTGTGCTCAACCTTTTATCGCAATGAAGAATCATATATTGCAGTGTGGGGCAGATTCGAGTATATACATTGTCTCTCGCGAGAGTATTACGCTATATGTATGACTAGACTATCATCTGGGCGGTGGCCCGTACGACATTTGTACTGGAGCCAAGTATGGTGATACCAGAGCTGCTCCAGAGACTCTGGCGAGCCTTTCGCGTTCCTCCTCTCGTTTGATGATCTCGACTTCGTCTTGTATCAAAGTGCAGCACGTGCAGCACGTTGCTCGAATGCAGTCAGATATGAAATCGCCTTCGATCTTGTAAGCTTTGCGCACTCGCCGGTGCTGGATTGCAGCCAGTAGCCCTAAGATGCCGGGTCAGCTCGACGCACGAAAGAGTTGCAGCTGGGAATTATTCTACTCACATTGACAGCCGCAAAATAGGGCCATTACTGTACATGACCCATTGCAGACATTATATGCGAGCATGTTCGTGGGGTCGTCTCCCCGGGACATTGTCTGCAGTCGATGCTGGGTTTTCCCATATGAGATACAAGGGCAAAACAGGCCCAGAAAGCATGAGCCAATGTTTGTACAGCCACATAGACTGGTCTTCCATGAGCCCCCTTGAATGGCTTGATTAGGGTGTAAAATTTGTCCCGGCCGATGGTAAGCCATGATTTCATGTGCTGGTGGTGTAACGGATGTGTTCGATGCAACTGGAGGAGGAAATTGAGGTAGTGGAGTCGTATTCAATGGGTTGGTGTCTGGTGCAACTGCCGTGGAATGACTCTCCAATACCTGTCCCGAGGTTTCCGGGTTGACTTTGACTGGGAGCGGCCCTGGACTTTGCGGAGGATGTGCATACGAGTAGTCAGGCACCACTGCTTCAGCTTTGGCTGGCTGAGGGGCCTCATCGGCAAATGGAGCATAATTTGCAGGATGATGCTGGATATTAGGCCCACCTGGATAAACATAGGGGCTCACATCGTCATTCAAGTGCTGCGTTTTCTCGTTTAAAGGTATTTGTGTCTGTTCTAGCACGTTCCTCTGTTCTGCTGGGAGGTTGCTCGGTGGACTCGTTGACAAGGCTGTCTGCCTGATCACTCCTCCGGGAGCATGCATCTCCAATGGCGTTGCAAGAAAGGAATATCTTTGATTCCCACCGTCCAAATTTTCCAGATTGGATGTATCCAGATGAAGTTGCCTGTTCATTTTGACGAATATTTGGTTCTTGCGTTTGCTAAGACGCCTCTCTGAATCCTGACGGTATCCGCTTCGTGTGATCTGTTTCCAGCTCTAGGTGGGCATGAGATGAATTCTCTAAGCTGTGCTCTGAAGGGAGAAGTAGCGACGGTTCAAATTCATTGCTCGCATGTAGTCTTTCCGTGAAATACTACATGTATTGAAGCGAGACAAGCCCTCCCCGGAATTGGGATCCGCGGAAGGCATCTATTTCAGAAAAGACAAGATCTCAAGATGCAAGCAGAATTAGAGACGGCGCAAGAGCAATGTGGGAGGTAACTGCATTATGTGTAGCCTGCATTGGGAGAACGAATTCCCGGGGTGGAGTTTAGAGCGCGTGAGATGGACAGCGTCGTAGCGGGGAGACCAGGATCTAAATGGCCAGAGGTTCAAATATCAGGGTAGTCGTTGCGCCGGACAGTCCTTAGGCTGCACCAACCTGGGACCTTTCACACCAGAAACCGCTTCGGTTGGTTTGGTGATCTTTCGGAAGTTCCCGTTGCGCCTTTAAGCACGTCTCGTCACATCACGGTCGGCGCCGTCACATTAGGGATGGCAGCCGAAGCGCTCAAGTCCCAATGGCATTGGAGGAAACCAGGAAATTGCACCGCAGGAATGTAGAATCTCACCACCAGCCACTGGCACATCCCTTAGCGTGGCGGTAATATACCCTCCAGTGACATAAGAAATTGGATGATTGGACTTGAAGCAGATGGGATTGACAGGTCGAAGATGGGTGTTTTCGCTGTTGCTGGTTGATTGAGATTGGGAACCGCTCGGTGGGTGGCATTCCCAATACTCCGTACCTGAGAATCGCCTTCGAAACATGGCTGTTGATTCAAATTGCGCCGCACTTGACGATCGAACAACTCAGAAGTTTCATATCCATGTATGGTTGTACTGTACTTTGTTCGGGTGCTCAGGCGATGCGTTCTGGGGAAGGTTCCCCGTTTCCCCGTCTAAAATAGCCGCTGAGTGCAGGCGCCATCCATCACATGACAGGAAGATGTGCAGTACTAGGTAGTTACTTGTTCCCACCTGACATAGTTATAGTACAAAAGAATCACAGATGTCTTCATTCTCTATATCCTTTACGCTGCCATTATACCGACTGAACTGAAGCGACGGTTTGTGGAACCCGTAGAATAAATTGACTATCTCTCACGTTGCCATGGCTTGGGCGGATACACACTGCACAGTACACATGGCGCTGTAGTTTGTTCTTGTACCTACTATAAGCTGATCAATGAGAGTTGAGTGTAAATGAATTGAGACCTATATCCGATGGTCGGGGCGAATTATGTCTCACAATGGAGCAGAACATCCAATTGACTGGAGACTCGAGATGTGTAAGGCAAGCTGTTTTGACGTATAATCAGGCAACCTCGAAACCGGAAAGACAGGATAATATCCTCAGCTCATTGAAATAGAGCTGTGGAACTATCTCATAAGCATAGAGTATAATGGGCTGAGTGGTGATATTTGTTTCCATTGTGAGGGAGAACAAGTCGCGCAAGTGCTCCGTCCTACCGCCAAGAGCGAAACTTCAGGGGGGAATTCTGAGGGCTCAAAGGTTGAATCGATCAGGTGAAGCACATCAAACCCACCCCTTAGTTGAGTTGCCCTACGCATAGTCCCTTCCTGATAAAACAAACCTAAGGGCACCAGCAGGGCACTAAATCCAGTCATGCAAGGCGTTGGTGGCCGCCCTTTGTTGAGGAATTTGTTGGTCAATTCACTTCGAGTGATAGTGCACCTAGAGATTCGAGAGACAAGCAGCAGAGATGCAGACCAGAGATAAGAGTTCCAGCAATTGGATGAGATTCCAAGGTTCGCCCGGCATGCAGCCAACTTACTGTATCCATAGAATGACACGCACAAGGACTGATAAGGTCATTTCAGTCCAAGATGGCATATGAGCTCATGGTCTCTGTATAACTGCGGCGTTCTTCACTTGCAGCATGCAGATTGCGTGCGATAGCACCTACTGAATAGGTGAGAAAGTGATGAGATGTCAACATCTCTAGTCGTTCTGGCCCAAACCGTGCAGGTCCGAATCTGGATCCTGAGGAACAGCGCATATGACGGCATACAGAAGGATCACAATTTGCAAGCTGGGAATAGTGGATGCAAACATGACAGTCACTCGACCAGGGAGTGGGAGAAGGTCGAGATTGCGGTCAAAATTTCGATTAGGTTCAATGGAAACTGAAACTTGAGGGTGGATCTGGGGTCTTTGGTTGATTCCAGGATAAGGCACTAAAGTCGACGTTCTTGATGCCTGAGGTACTTTGTATGGACACCATTGACCAGCCGGGCGATCACGTTTTTCATTGATTGGTAGATTCAACGGGAGGGTCTGGGATCCAATGCGGAACGGGTCATGCGGCGGGGGTGGAGAAGTACTGCACAAAACTATAGTCCAGCACTCAATACAAATCCCTCTTACTGAGATATAGTATTGACTGCCTGGCGATAACCGATGTACCTATACTGTGCAACTTATCCTTTCTTCCGACCTTATCTAATGGTTATCACAACTCACGCAGGCATGTGCAGTATGTACTCCGTAAAACTATGGATATGGAGTTGGGATATCTTATCTATTTATCGATTCATCCCTTCCCTATGGCCTAGTTATACAGGTCTCTATCGCTTATCGGACGGCCTAGCATCGCATCTAGCGGGATCCCCGAATCGCAACCCCATCGGGGTCCGAGAACTCGGTACTGTACATATGCAAGGCGAGTCGAAGAATCTCTCCAAAAAAACCAATGAGGTTGTACAAGACGGTTGCACATATTGATACCTCATCGCAAGTATTGAGAGGATGTAGCATGCTGCCCGAGAAGACAGGTCACATATTCAGGGAAGCGCATGTTAGGTACGGAGTACTTCACCAGTGATGGACTCTGCTGCGCCCTGTGTCTGAGAGTGCTCATAATATGTATTGCTGACAACAATTCCCTCATCCCAAAGCGTAGCCGATCGAGTACCTTTATCGTCATAGCTGCATTCCGAGTGTCCCGACAGCCCTTGCTGTAGGCTGGTTGAATAGAAGACAAGACTCCAGAAAGCTGGCTTTAAGTTCTTATCGACCATCAATCATATGCCAGAGAGCATCCACGGGACCTCAGCATGAAAGTGTCTGGTCATCATTCAGGAATGACCAGACGAGGTCATGCTGTTGAGCTTCCTACCATAGGAGTCTCTACTCGGGGAGGACTGCTGCATACTAATAACCTGTAGGGAGGTGCGAAGAATAGGGAGTAGGGAGGAGACACCCACTTTCTAAGCACTTGAATGGATTCTCCGTACTGCGGAGGGAATTTGCCTCCTCAGTAAGGTTTCAGTACCTACATTTCACAATCACCTGCTAGATTGGAGGATTCCTATTAGCTAAACCATTTCCTATTCCTCCTTGAGGCATTCGGATCCAGGGATACACAGAATGATATAATTGGGAACCCAAGCATCCTGGCAGACGATTATTGATTTTCTCATCTGCTCAATCCTCCCCAGCTATCTAGTGACTAATAGTTAGTTAAATAGGTATTAGTATGTGACTGGTGCAGAAGCAGGAGGGTATTTTCAAAAGATTTAAAAGTGGTGGCTGTAGAAGAAGAAATAAGGAGAACTTAGACTAAGGAACAACCTTCATCTAGCGCTGTTTCTTCTTACTCCGTACTCCGGACACCTCTAGTTTCTGACTAACATATTTTTCTTTTTCTGTTTGTTAAGGTTTCTGAATTGAATTCCCATTTTTGCTCTGAACTCCATTTCCATTTCCTTAGACTATTCCGTACTCCGTACATCCATCCACCATTATTGCTTATCATTTTTCCTTTGGGGAGAGTGACCAGTCATAACTTGAAAAGACAATTAACTGAGGATCCACAAAGGCGGTGACGAAGATCCGCGTCATTTGTCTTTTTGTTGGTTCAGCCAAACGCTTCTCTTCCTTTGGTTCCCTTCCCTTTCCTTCTTCATTAACTTACTTAGTACTTCTTACTACTTCGGACTTACTACTACCTAACCTTGAATTGGACCTTTCCCTGCTTTACTGTTTTGAGACGGAGTATTTTTCTTCAATTTCTCTGGCTGCCTGAACTGACTTGACTGACTGACTGACTGACTGTCTGTTTGTCAACTGCTGCTGCTACTACACTACCGCTGCAACTACCTTCGTACTCCTGCGGCTTACTGCTTCCTTCTCCTCACTTTTCCTGCTTCTTCTCCTCCGGCTACTGCGCCTTACTGCCCTAGGAGCTTGCCGACTTCTTAGGTACGGTGCTTCCTCCTCTTCCCCAACTAGTCTAGAATAGTTCGCCTCCGTCATTTCGACTCTCTCTCTTCCTTCCCACCCCCCCGACCTTATTACCCAGTACTCCTTCTTTTCCAAGCCACGATAACGCCTCATTCGTGCCTGTCAGTGAGTTCCCAACTTCCCGGACCCTGACCAAAAATAAAAAAAAGAAAATGAAAATGAAAAGAAGAAAGAGAAGAGACCTATCCCCACTCAAAGTCTTTCCAGCCTGTAAGGTGTCTACGCCCCAGAACGTGGCTAATGTTTCTTGATCTTCTCGATCGTCTCCAGTTCCAGTTGCTAAACCCCAGTGACGCCAGCTCCCTTTCTCCCGCCTCCCCCCCCGAGTGAAACACCCAACCATATTCTTCCAACCCCAACAGCGTTTCTTCTCCTTCTCGGTTCCTTTCCCACCCTGTCCTCATCGTGCATCCCGACCAATGTCCTCCCCATGTCAAGACCTCCATCTGCGACAGACAATACCTGGTCAGGACCCCTGGTGACACCTGATTCATCTGCCCAATATGATTGCTCTGAAGGGCCCGACCTCCCGCGCGACCAGCAGCGGCGCCACAACGATACTCGGAGCCAGCTCATACATCAAGATGCCCAGCAAGCTCCTTCTCCATCCCGCGCAGAATCTCCCACGGCTCATCAATGGGCTAAGCCCACCTCTACCTTTCCTCTAAAACGGCCCACTGCAGCCCCTGTGGAAAGGCTGTCCCGTCCCGACCGCTCTCATAGCCCACAGTTGTCTGAAAGAGATAGCATCTTCGCAACTCATTATCTCCCTTCCGAGACCGATCCTAGCACCACCCCGCGATTATCGCCTTCAGAAGATACAAATCATGAACCACCCGCAAGTTTGACTCCTCTGCTTGAGGATGTGTCTGCTTTTGCTTCTTCGGATTCTCCTCACAAGGTCATTCCCCGCTCTAATCGCGTCGGCACCTCCCACATGGAAGTTGACGTCCGCAGGAAGCATCCGCTAGACACTCCTTCTTTGCTTCCGCCGGCGGTCCCGCATTCTACCCCTCTGCTCCCGGTAGACTCGGATGCCATTGTGGACGAGCATTCGGGGCTGGCACATCGCAGTGCCCCATTCTCTGCATGGGAGAGCTTGCAACCCCTTAGAAAAGTTTTTTCTGATGGCGCTGCTAACAAGCCGGCTGCTTCGGCGGATCATCTAGCCCATCGCAGCCTTTTGTCGGCCTCCCTCAATGATGCGCCATTACCGCCATTGCCGCCCTTACACTCCTCTGTCTCTTTGCCTGGCGTGCACTCCCCTGTGACCAGTGTCGACACAGCCCACCATGCCTGGTCTATGTCGCAACCACATGAGGGTGCACGTGAGAACAGACTGGAACGAAGTTCGAGTCGCAGCCGGCGTGGCAGAGTCGAGCAATCAATTGAAGCCAACTTGGCAAATGCGGAACCCGCTTCTCATGTGCGCAGCCGTAAGTCGAGTCACTACTTGGGCTTGTTCAAGGAAAACACTACCTCTCCTGATCGTAAAAGAAGAGAGGAGCGCGCAGGCAGACACGATGACCCCGCAGAGCTGAATGATCCACACCACCGGGTCACTCATTCGGAGCCTCGCTTCGCCCTGGAGCATTGTGACTCCCCGCTGGAGGCTTCCTTCCCGTCCGACGAAGGGGAACTCAGAAACACCAAGAGTTTGTCGCAGCTATCGCTCGCTGATGCCCCACTGATTTTGCCAAGTATAGAGAGCGATATAAGCCAGATGAGGCATGGGGACAATGTCAAGAAATCACAGCCTCGGGCTCTACCTCGAAGCCTTCTAGAGGAGATCCGCAACTTTCACCTCACACCCGGCGGAGCCCGTGGCACTTCCTTTTCACGGAGTATTCCCACCCAATTTGCCGAGAGAGGGCGAGACTATTTCTCCAAAGACCATGCAAGCCACGGCATTCCGGGTTCACACCTGTCCGGATCTGACTCAGACCGGGAACAGCGTCGTCCTTTGGAAGAGGAAGAGGATGAACAAATCTCGTCTGCCGTCTATTTTCCCCATGAGCGTGTCACGATATCAGAAGAGGTCGATTCCATCCCGCCGTATGCGGACAATGAACATGGTGGGACTCCGATCGATATCTCGACTGCGCAGAATGGCCACATTCGGATGCCAAAGAGACATGTTTCTGATGACCTGGAAGGTAATCATGTGGACATATCTCTTCGCTCTAAAAATGAAAGTAGAATCCTCCACGGCGACCTACAGGGCATGCAGAGTGCTCCCATAGAAGAACTTAATGAAGAGTCTCTTGCTTCCATTCCCGAGCGCACCACTGATTATTATTCGACATGCGAATCTGAATTTGCATCTGCTGACGATAGTGGATTGTCCGTTCGAGACGAGGAATCGAGCTTGACAGACGAAGCTGATGTCACGCCCACTGCTACCCCCACCCAAGGCCCAAGATTTCCTCGCGCGCGGCGCAAGCATAGTAACGCCGCACCTCTCGGCGCAGTGGAGCTCAAACCCTATCGTCATCAAGTGGGTGGCCATACGACCGTATTCCGATTCTCTAGACGGGCTGTATGCAAACAGCTCAACAATAGGGAAAATGAATTCTATGAGCGCATTGAGCGCCGACACCCCGAAATGCTGATGTTTCTGCCAAGGTGCGTGTTTAATGTCGCCTGTTCCTTTCCGCAAGTCATTACGACGTTCCACTTACACTGTCGCTAGATACATTGGCGTTCTCAATGTCACTTTCTCAAAGACACCAAAGCGACCCAAGGATCTGACTACAACCAATGGAGAACACAGAGACACCAACCATACTGCGAACAATCCTCACCCTGCTGACAACAAAGACTCGACGGCTGCAAGTAGCTCATGCCCCTCCAAGGACACAAATCAGCCACGTATATTTAGCCAAAAGCAGGTCACCGGCATCATACCGCAGGTGATACTGGAAAACAACAGACATATCATTCCAGCAGATCTGTTCTCTCATTGTCAGCGTCCAAGGACTGCTGATGGATCGATGACGCAGCGACGCTTCTCGACTGGAATTGAATCCATGTCAAGCCGACAAAACGGACAGGAATGCTTGGCTGATGGCCCATTATCTCCCCAGGTGCTGAAAAAGAAGCAGTGGGGCGCGACAACTGTCAACAGACAGTTGCAAGAGCAAGTACTCCGTGAAGTCTTCAGTCCCCCTGCTGTGCACCATCATCGACGCCACGCACGTGGTCATCTGAACTTACCAAGGACATCATCGGACGGCATTCGCCGTAGAGTCAATCTCTCTGAAGACCGAGCTTTGAGTCGTCGTACCGCTTCCGTTGAAGATGCTCCGACGCTCGCTGCTGGCATCGATATCGTAAAGCAGACAAACGATGGACCGGGGCTGTCTTCATCGGCATCTACGGCCTTGGATGCAGGCCACAATCGACTCGAGAAGGTCCGAACCGAAGAGTCACCTCAACGTGCTAGTTCACTTTCGCGAACGCGGCCCATGAGACGCCGCCGTTCAGGGAGCGGATTGCAGAGACGGGGTAGCTTAGGCTCTGGAGAAGGTGGAGGCGAACTGCTGTTCTTCGACGACGATGGCTACGGAGGCGACAAGGAAGACGGCGTCTTCCCTATGGAGGGTGATATATCTGTCAAATCGCCAGCAGGACGCCGGATGACTGACCAATTCGGGCCGCCTCTCCCCAACCCCAAGACTGCTGTTGCCGCCAAGCCTGTCGATCAGACCTTGAATGAACCCTCGGAGGAGGCCTCTAGGCATGGAGATCACCTACTGCTCCCCTCCAATCCCAAAGAAGCGCAGACACGGAAGGATGATAGGGTTCAATTTTTTCTGTTGCTGGAGGATTTGACAGCCGGCATGAACAAGCCTTGCGTCCTCGATCTAAAGATGGGAACACGTCAGTACGGCATTGAGGCTGATGAGAAGAAGCGTAAATCCCAACGACGCAAGTGCCAGTCAACAACTTCCCAGCAGCTAGGTGTCCGCTTGTGTGGCATGCAAACGTGGAATGTGAAGAAACAAGAGTACTCATTTGAGGACAAATACTTTGGTCGCGACCTAAAGGCCGGGCGTGAATTCCAGGATGCTCTTACACGATTTCTTTACGACGGCGCTAGCCAGCGAAGTGTGACGAAGAAGATTCCCGTCATCCTCGAGAAACTAGCACGCTTGGAGAACATGATCAGAAGGCTCAAGCGTTATCGCCTGTATGCTAGCAGCCTTTTGATCCTCTACGATGGTGACCCAAATCCAACAGAGGGAGCTACTCAAGTCAACGGTCGGTCAGGGTCGGGCACCATGCGAGATCACTTGCAACGTCGGAGCTCTGATGATGGTTATCCTGATGTGCAGCTGAAAATCGTGGACTTCGCAAACTGTGTCACAGGCGAGGACGAGATTTCTCCCGATGCCTCTTGCCCGCCCCAGCATCCCGACGATATTGATCGTGGCTATCTGCGCGGTCTTCGGACTCTACGAATGTACTTCCAACGGATCTTGAAGGAAGTCAGCCACGACGACTACATAGAAAGAGGCGAGGGTGAGGCGATTGCCCTCGGATCTCGACACTCGGACCAAGACGAATCATCGGAGCGGTTTTGGGACGAAAACGTCATGGAGAGTGACCCCGGCGAGGTCAGTTTCTAGTGGTTGATCCTCGTGTTTGGAATGATTCCCCCGAGCGAAGACCTTTTCCTTTGATTATCTGCCTCGACTCAACTCCTCACCATTTCCACACCTTATCTGGTACGCTGCTCAACCAAGCAATGCGGTGGTGGGCCTCGTGATAGTGGAAATGCCGTCAATAATTGACGGCTATGGTCTGTCATCCTGTGGCAAGCGAAACGATTTTGACGAATCATAACGGCACTATGCTACCTAATCAAGTTCTTCGTCTATCCATGCCTGGAGCATGGTAGGGGAAGGTTTCTGTATTGCAGCCATATTCACATGGCATGTATGAAATTGTTTTTCAGACCCGTTCGTTGCATTGTCTGTGTTTTCTGTTCGATGGTCATTTCCGGTTGCTCCTTTCTTGGACATGTTTTACTGCTCTATACCTCCTGGGAGTAGGTGCAAAGCTCTGGGGTCATTAATTGTGGTTTTGTTCTTTTTCCTTCCTTTTGTTTTTAAACCAGTTTGACAGGGTAATGTTCGAGACTTGTGGTACAGTACTTGTGTACATACATATGGGCGCAGTAGCTAGACAAGAACTCATAATTCACACTCTACGTTAGGTCTTTGACACTCTAAAAGGCTTGAGTATAGGCTGGCCAGGCGAGGCAAGGCAAGGCGGTTGATGCAGTAGGTAGTTCAACGCTGAGTCTACTTAGGTATGTGCAAGGGCGAGAGTGGATTGAATTGCGCAGAATTGCGCAATGAATGATGCAATCACGTGCTCCGGCGATAAGGCAGCGCGGGCCTTATCTAATCGCGCATCATTCCTCGGTTTGGCTTCCCCTTCTTTCGATTCTCATCATTCCCCGACAGCTTAGCTCCTGTTTCGGTAATTCCATCTTCAATCCATGAGACTTTTAGCCTGCATTGACTGCCATTCTCTAACCCTGGCACTATAGCAATCTCTGGTCATCTGATAGCCTCAGCTGTCCGGAGAGTCTTGGACGATCTCTCGCTGAACCACTGTCGGTCCTTTCCCGCGGATGACGATAGTCCGCCTCCACCTCCACCTGAGGAGTCACATTCGCATCCACGCCTTGTTGTCTGGCTTGCTGCTTCAACGCAGTCTTTCCCCCTTTTTGCGTCCCAGGGCCTTTGAAGAACGAAACACAGCATGACAGGATCCAATGGCCAAACAGTCTCAACCATCGACAAACGAGACTTCGACTCTCACCGCCCATTGTTAGATGGGCTCGATGCCGGCGAAGACGGAGACGCGGAGGAGCACGGAGCTATCCGGTCACGACCAGTATCACGACTCGCCGCGGCCAACGATGAGGACGGGCTGCTGAACGATGTGGTGGAAGAGATACTCGAGCGCGATCGCAAGAAGATGGCTAAGGAAGTCATCCGAATTGGCAGCTTCGCCTGGGGAGTGATTACCTGGTAAGGTCCAATTGCTGTGTAACGCGACCGTCTGCCGAACTCTGGCTAATAAGCTATCCAAATCACTGTCAGTCTGGGAGCTGGGAGCATCACGGCCTTTTCTCTCTATGGTCCCCTTCTGCTGACCCGCCTTCATTATACCCAGCTCCGGGTCAACGCGGTCTCGATCGCCGCGGAGGTCTCGATGTACCTCCCCGTCCCGCTGTTTGGGTACCTCTGCGACCGATACTCTCCGTCACCTCTCGCTTTGCTCTCCGGGATCGTGTTCGGGGCCGGCTACTTGCTGGCTGCCTTCGCCTACCGGAGCGGACCGCCGCCCGATGCTGGTGGCCAAGGCTGGCCGTTCTGGGTGATGATTGTGGCTTTCATTGCCATTGGCACCGCCACCAGCTGCATGTATCTGGCTGCGGTAACGACATGCGCGAAGAACTTCGGCCGGGGCAAGCACAAGGGCATTATGCTGGCCGTTCCGATTGCTGGGTTTGGGCTGAGTGGCATGTGGCAGAGCCAAGTTGGAACATACTTGCTCTATGAGCCCAACGAGGATGGCAGCCGTGGCGATGTCGATGTGTACAGGTACTTCGTCTTCCTCGCTCTGCTGTTGCTTTGCATCGGCGTCGTCGGTACGTTCGCCCTGAAGATCGTAGAGGAAGACGAGGAGAAATTCATCGATGACGCGGTGGAGGAACTCGAGAGGAGCGGACTTCTCGAAGAAAGCGAGTTCTTCCGATCAAGAGATGAGGTCCGGTCGGCGTACGGGACATTCTCGCAGGCCGACGATGTCGGCGACTCGGATGAGGAACGCACACTTGTACGGTCGGAAGAGGAGCTGGAAGCAGCAAGACTGGACAAGCAGCGGGAGGAGGAGGAGCGCAGGAAGAAGAATTGGCTTTTGAACTATGAGACCAAGGTTTTTCTTGCAGACCGGTCCATGTGGTGGCTTGCCGTGGGCTTCTTCTTGGTTACTGGGCCTGGCGAGGCCTACATCAACAACGTATGCACCTTCCTCCCCCCTCAGAAACAAACCTAAACCTGGCATGCATACTCACTTCTCTCCAGCTGGGCACAATCGTACAAACCCTGACCCCCATCTCCAACCTCCCCAATGCCCCGTCCCCCGCGGGCCTTCCTTCCACGCACGTCACCACCGTCGCCTTGACCTCGACGATCGCCCGACTTCTCACCGGCTCACTCTCCGACTTCTTCGCCCCGCAAGCCCGCCACCTGTTGCCCGGAGGCAACCCGGACATCAATCGGCCGGCGTCCCCGACGGACCCGCGGAACCGAGTCACCTTCACCCGCCTTGCGTTCCTCCTCCCCTCCGCCTTCCTCCTCTCCCTGGGCTACCTCCTCCTCGCCTCCCCCTTGCCCCTCGATTACCCGGCTCTCACCCACATCACCACCGCCCTGGTCGGCCTCGGATACGGCAGCGCCTTCTCCCTGGTGCCCATCATCATCTCCGTGGTCTGGGGCGTCGAGAACTTCGGGACAAACTGGGGCATCGTCGCGATGGTCCCCGCCGCCGGCGCCGCGGCCTGGGGCCTGATCTACTCGCGCGGCTACCAGGACGCCACGGACGGCGGCAACGGCACGGCCGACGGCCAGTGTCACGGCTGGTGGTGCTACGGGCTCTGGGCGGTGGGCTGCACCGTGAGCGTCTGGGTGGCCATCGGAGCCTGGTTGGCTGCGTGGCGGCATTGGCGGCGACGCGGGGTGGTCGTTTGAGGCCGGCTATTGCCGTCTATCATCTGGTTCTTCATGTCTTTTCCAGTCTGGAAAGCGCTGATCTTTGGGGTATGACATATTCGGTATATAGATCGGGGATTTTGTTCTTTTGTTTCCTTGGCATTGGACTTTTTTTGGCAGTTGGTTCTCAGCCACATGCATACCGAGCAGAGCCTTGTGTCACTTCTGGTGTAGTTGATCTATTGCCCCAGGTTGTTCTGAATTAGCTTGTCACTCTAGGGTCTTGCGTGTATGTCATCTATGTGCTTTTGATTCGTTATAACAATTCATCACGAGGAGCATTCAGTATCCATGCAAACGCCATGCCAAATAGACAGGAAGATGTAATGATACCACCAATACGAGGCTTGGTCTAGAGGGTGCAGTACAGTATAGCACTGCACAAAGCGCAACCACCCATCTACCGAGCCCTAGCCAACCGCCTCCGCCAACTGGTTACCGGATCAAACATCCGTCGACGAAGGATCCATCCCCATAAACACCTTATACAACCGCCGACTAGCCGCCGGCCCAATCCGCGAATCCGTCAGGGCGCCGTTCTTATTCGCGGATTTCTGGAAAAAAACAACCCGTAACGTCAGCATGTCCACATTTGCCCCAAAAAGCCACAAAGCTCATACACCACACCACAATACGGAGGAACGGAACAAAAAAATACCTTGACATCCTCCAACAAGCCGGGCCCCTCGCGACGCATCCCCTGCACCAGGTCCAGCACGCTCGGGTACCGCTCGGCGATGCCGTAGGCCATGCTGGCGGTGATGCGGTTGACCTCCTGCAGCATCTTGACGAAGGTGTCGGAGCGGTTCTCGCCGGGCTTGACCTGGCCGACGTCCATGCAGAAGGCCGAGTCGTTGGCGGCCATGCGCTCGCGCCGGTAGGGGACCGTCGAGATGTGCTCGGTGAAGTTCTTGATCCACTCGGCCGAGTCGGCGGGCGCGGCGGTGTGGTGGATCAGGCAGGCGTGGGTGACTTGTAGGTCGAGGAGGGCGTCTTCGATCGTGTCGTCGTCGATGGGCGGGGTGGTTTCGGGTTTGTTGGCCGGCTGTTTCTTGCGGGTGCGGCGGGTGGTTGTTGTTGTGGTGGTGGTGGGGTCGGTGGATGATGCTGCTGCTGCTGCTGATGCTGCTGCGGCCTCGTCGTACTGGCGACGGACTTCGGCTACGTAGGCTCTGTTGCGGGAGGTTTTGTTCTTGCGCAGCCAGATGGTGAGGCCTTCAATCAGGTAGATCGGGGTGCGGTTGGGGTAGGCGGCTTTCAGCGTCTGGATATGTTGCTCGAGGGTTGTGTCCGGAGTACCTGGCGCCAAGACCATGTCGACGAACTCCTGCGCCGGCACGAGGCAGAGCACATGCTCGTCCTCGTCGCGGATGTGCGGCGCGCAGGGTTCCCAGTACCCGAGGGCGTCGTTGTAGGTCGCTTTGACCTTGCGGCGCCATCGCACGACGTTGGGGATCGCACTGGCGAAGAACGACTGCTCCACCCCGAGATGCTTCATGAACTCCGTCGTCTGGTTTCCGACACTCGTCCCTTCAAACGTCGAGGCGAGGTCGATCATCATCTCCGGCGTCGACTCCTTTTTCGTGACTTTCAGTTTATTGACCTCCGCGATGTCGGCGGCAAGCTGTTTCTCCCGGGCCTTCTCGTCCTTGAGTCTCTGCTTGCGCTCCTTCTCCCGCTGCCGCTCCTGTTCGCGCTGCGCCTTGGCCGCCTCGCGTTCCCGGGCCTTGGCGTCCTTCTCTGCGCTGGTGGTGGTCGTGCGTGTGGCGGTGGTTTTGCGCTGGGATTTGCCCCGGGCGGAGCTTGCTGTAGTGGCTGGATCATCCATCTCGTCGTCATCTTCGATAATGTCCTCCGCGGCTCGATCCTTCTTGCGTCGTCGGCGTGCTGTCGTTGTGGTGGAAGTACATTCCGTGACACTGCCGCCTTGTGGTCGCTCGAGGTTGGCGAGTAGAGCCGCCGTACGACTGGAGAATGTGCCGGCCGTCGGTGGGGGTCTCGGACGTTCGAGAAGTTCATTGATGTCGGGGAACTGGGTCTGGTCGCTGAAATCCTCGATGTTCTCTCGGTTATTATTTGACCCGGTCGCAGGCATTCGCTCGTGATCATCGTAATCATCGACGTCGATCGCGATGGCATCTGTGGTAGGGGGAGGAGATTGCCGTGCAACAAGCGTAGTGTCCCTGGGTTCTGGGGCAGACGACGTGAAGATAATCGGATCTGATTCTCCATTCCAGACTGGGAGTTTCGGAAGGGTGGGGCTGAGACCGGGGCCGGGGCCGGGGCCTTCGGAGGATAAGATCACATCGTCGTCGGAGAACAGGAATAGATTGTTCCTGGGCTTGGGGAGAGACGGCTGCCGGAATCGGGGAGGCGGAGGAGGAGGAGGCGCTTCATGGCTTAGACGTCGACGCTTGAATGGGTTGTCGAGGTCGAGATCGTCCTCCCATGTGAAAGCGGAGAGGTCGACGTCGTCGGCGAAAGATGCGGCGCCGGGCGGAGAGGAGTGAGCTCGTCTTGCGGAAGAAAGTTCGTGTCGGTCTACCGGAGGAAGGGGGGGAGGAGGTGTCGAGGAGAGAAGACTGATGATCTCTGGCATTGTGTCGCGTTGTGAGATCGAGTCGGCGAGCAACCGCCAACGACGATTGCGGAGGATAAGAGATCGATCCAAGGCCCGCTGGCGGCACGTGTCGCGACGTCACGTCCGATGCGCGCAATCACGTGAATCAATCTCTATACTATATAGTATATGGGGAAAAGCATCGAAATCAAATTCGAATATACTGTACATTGCAAAAAGGGTATTAGATAGGCAAAACAAATCAAAGCAACCTGAGAAGCACGGTAACCAAGAAAGCAAAGACAGCGACCAGGAGAGCCAGAACTACCAGGATCTGCTGGAACCCACTGAATGGCGGCCTTTCCTTCTGGAGCATCTGGCTGATCTCTTCGTCCAACTTCTCGCCCATCGCAGTGAGCGAGAACTCGCTCTCGACCCGTTTCTTCGCCACAGCCGACATGCGATCCAGTTCCGTCTGGTCCATCTCGTAGAGCACCTTATTCATGACCGCCGTCCACTCAGCATCGTTCTTCGCATCGCGAAGCCAGCCCGTCTCCCCCTCGACTATCGTCTCGCGAGGCCCACCAGTATTCGACGCGAGGACGGGGATCCCCGCGTGCATGGCCTCGACCGGCACGATACCGAAGTGCTCGTTGACGGGCGTGTAGAGGAGCAGCTTGGACTGCAGCAGGAGAGTATCGCGGAAGGCCGTGGGCACCGAGAGCAAGAAGAGCACGTCGATCGAGTCCGGGACGGAGAGCGCCGAGACGACCGTCTTCGCCGTTGCAGTCTGCAATCCCAGACTCGTCGCCAGCTGGTCCAACTCCTTATGGTACTGCACATTCTCCTGGACGCGGTTATCGTAACCACCTACATCACATCACATTAGCCCACCGCAACACCCAAAATCCACCCTCCCCGCAGAATAACAGTAAAAGAAAGGAAAGGGGAACCCAAACTCACCAGCAATAACCAACCGCGTCCCCAACCTCTGCTCCGCGCCCAGCCCATGATACGCCCGAATCGCCAGCGCCATATCCTTCTTCCTCTCAAACCGATTCACACTCAGCAAGATCTTCTTCCCACCCCACAACTTTTCTTCCGTCTTCTTCTCCCCGGTAACCGCAGTATCCACACAAGGATAAACCACGCTCAACTCCCCGAGCGTCTCCGTCCCAAACACCCCCGTGATAACCCCCCTCGTAAACCGCGAATTGGCCACGACTTTATCCGCCGCACTCATCGCCCACCCCTCGAACCAATCGAACGGCGCCCGATAAAGCGTCTTCACCACCCGCAACAGTCCCCCACTACTCTCATCCCTCCAGGCGAGCAGCTGATCCGGGAAATGGCAGTAGAAGAGAATGCGTTGCTTGCTGCTGCCGCTCTTGTAGGTGCTCCTCCTCGCACCCCACGTCTTCAGGATCGGAACGCAGGCGGGGACTTGATCGACGATGAAGATCTCCTCCTCTTCCTGCCCGTCGTTGTCGTCGTCTAGAGCCTCCCCCAACAATGACAAAGTCAAGTGCACCTGGCGCGCAATGGCCATGAGGACGTGGAACCGGCCGCCGAGGTGCGCGGGGAAGATCGTGTTGCCGCGAACGCGCACGTCGAGGGTCCCGTCGCGGGCCTCCTCGAAGCAGTGCGACTTGTCGCGGTGTGAGGTGTAGACCGTGACGCGGTGGCCGCGGTTCTGGAGGGCCAGGGCCACGTCGATGATCAGACGTTCGGCGCCGCCAATGCCGAGGTCCGGATGGATGATGGTGATTTTAGGGAGGCGGGAGCTTGGGGACGACATGGTGGAATCTTGAGAGCCCAACAGGATGGGCAGTTACCGGTAGGGAGGAGTTGACTGGCTGGGAAGGAACGGAGAAGAGAGTGGCCATCCCATGCGCAATAGGAGAATCTTTGTATAGCTTTTGTGTTAGGGGAAGAGTACACGCGGCCACTATCGGTTCAGCTGATAAGCTGATTAGATTGTGTCATGTGACGATAACAGTTGCTGGTGATATCACTATTTCCACCATGCATGCAACTATAAGGTCCACAAAGGGAAGTCAGAATCGCAAGCTCTATGATTTCTAGCTCATTTCGCTCTGAACAGCTATGCTAAACAACTAAGACAACATGCTCACTCAATACAGTGCATGTGTAAGGTGTAATGACAGGGTAGTCGAGAAATGTACAATAACAGGCCATACAGGTCAAGGTCATAAGGTGAAATTCATAAAACACAGGGTGAATGAAAAGGGTAAAAAAGAAGGGCAAAAACAACACAAAAGTAGTGATCTGTGAGATAAACACAGAAGAAGGGAAAAAGAGTACTAATCCACCATGTCCAAAATCAGAGGGAATCGACGTGGATTTCATCATGGTACAATAAAAGGCTAACTTCGTATCTGGCAGGAGAGCAAAGATAAGGATAAGCGAGCAAACAGAGAACCTCCCACACAAAAATGAATGGTTTATTTAGAAGCAATTAAGCGTGCTCTTCTTTTTCTTCTTGTTGAGCGCATTCATGCGCTCTTCGAGCTGCGCTCTGGCAGCTTCCGCCTCCCGCCGAGCGTTTCTCTCCTCCTCAACAGCTTGGAGCGAAAGACGCTGTGAGTTGCGTTCCTTACGCAAGGTCGTTAGTTCCTCTTCCAGTTGCCAGGCCTTCTTCTTCCAATTGTCGCAGTCGGTCTTGACCTTGTTACTCTGGGCTTCGAGATCGCCGAGAGCTTCTTCCAACGTGGCCGTAAGTTGTTTTTCGGCGTTCAAGTGTTTCTCGATGGTACGAATGCGCGCCTCTTGGTCCTCGACAATTTGCGTGCTGACTAACTCTTTGCTAGTATGTCGCGAGCTTGGCGGAGAAATGCTGCCAGTTCCATTGGTGGTAGCTGCGATGTTGGGAAGTGGTGGTAGAGGAATTGCTGGAGGTGGAGAAGGAAGGGAGGCTGCCGAGGAGCTCTTGCGAAGGTTAGAAGTGATTGAGCTGCTGCGATCATGAGAGCTATCGTGATTCTTGAGTTGGAGCTCAAGCTGCTCAATCCGCAAACGGTATGTCTCAATTTCCTTCTCGTAAGTAGCGATCTTGACCTTGGCATCCTCCAGAGCTTGATCGCGCTCTTGCTGGATCACGGAAAGGCGGTTGTTGTGTTGATCGAAGCTGTTTGTGATCTGTTCCTCGAGCTCCTCAACAAGACGGACACTCCGCTCCTTTTCTTCTTGGACCTCTGCAAGAAGCGCCTCCTTCTTCTTCACCTGTTCTTCCTTCTGCAGAAGAGTATCTTCCAGAGTGGCCACCAGCAGAGCAAGCTCATTTACCTTGGCGTCTTTTGCCGCGTTAGTCTGAGTAAGCTCGTCGAGACGGCCAGCTTCACTGCTCTTGTCGTCCAATTGCTTGCGCAAATCATTATTCGAATCCATAAGCTCCGCATATTTGTCAGAGAAGTGCTGCTTCTGCATCAGAACATCCTGAATCTGGTCCGCGAGGTTGTCAGCCGTAACATCGGAATTCAACAATCGTGAAACCGATTGCATCAAGTTCGTCAAATCGTCGCGTGATGCCATGATCTCAGATCTCAGTTGTTCCATGGCTTGTTCATGGTCGGTATTCATATCCGTGAAACGTGTCTCATACTCAGCCTGCGTAGCGGCTCTTGCGCGAGACTCCAACTCCTCCTTCTCTTGCCTGTGAGTCTCGTGCAAAGACTCAAGATCCTTCTTGTAAGTTTCAGCAAATGATCTATGGGTCTCAATCTCTTTCTCCAGTTCAGCCATGCGGGATTGATGCATCTCTACCTCATTGCCATCGTTATCCTTAGCGGTCTGGATGTCTGTCAACTGCTGCTGGGCTTCACCATATGATTTCTCGAGCAGCGCAATCTTCTCAAGATTGATGGTAGCTGTAGATTGGTGCTCCTCAATAACCCTCTTCAGCTTACTGACAGTTTCTTCTTGCTGCGCTCTTTCGCTGTCAAGCTCTCTTGCAGCAGCCTCTTTTGAAGCGGATGCTTCACCTGCAGCAGCTTGTTCGGTACGCATTGCGTCCAAAGAAGCCAGGGCAGTATCAAGCTCTGCTAAAGTCGCACTAAGCTGCTCTTCCGATGATTGTAGAGACTGAACAGCATTCTGATGTTTGTTCTTCCACTCAAAGAGTTCGCCGTTCAATGAATTGATCTTCCGATCTTGTTCCTCGGCACCGGCATCGTAAGCCTTGGCGGCTTCTTCTTGAGTTTTGAGGAGACCCTTGAGTTCTTCAATTTCCGACAGCAGCAATTTCTCCCTAGCTTCGTGCGCTTCTCTCATTTCGGTGATGATATTCTCTTGTTGAACAACTTGGTCACGCAGCTGAGACACGAGGCCCATGTCCACCTGAGATGCACCACCCTGTAAGCTGGATCTCTCTCGAGTGAGTCCGGAGATGATTGTTGACTTCATTTCCATCTCCTTCTTGACACTTTGATTTTCAGCTTCAAGCGCTTGGATACGCTCCATGCGGTTATACAGTTCGTGCATAGCAGAATCGAGGTGCACCTCAAAATTTTGCATTGTATCAGGACGAGACTCGAATTCCTCAGAGGCGATGTTACGTAGCGCGGCCAGAGATCTCTGTGCACGATCAACACTCCCAATCAGGCTCTGGCTTGTCTTACGTCTGATCACAGGGGACTTGAAGCCCGGTGTTGTTGGCGGCGACGACGACTTGGGTTTCTGCAGTTCGGCCTTGAGAGATTCAATGAGGCCGAGTGTTTGTTCATGTTCGGCTTGCAGCTGTGCATACTTCTGCGTCATGATGCTAACACCTTCTTGGTGCTCAGAGAGCAGACGGCGCATCTGCTCAACCTCCTGAGCTCTGGCTTCATCGGCCTCGGAGATACGAGCACTGTTTGTGACCTCCTGCTCAGTCAATTGCTCGTTTGCATTAGATGGTTCGTGCGAAGCAGCAGGCTCCCCGGCCAAGGATAACTCCGATGAGAGTGACTGCGAGAAGGAACGTTGTGTTCCAACTTTCGACTCGGGGATCTTCGCATCGTCTAAAAAAGATACCGGACGTGAAGACGCAGAGGGTGATAGAAGGGTCTGTAGGTTCGATCCGGGATGGCGTGCTTCATCTGCAGCATCCTGTTGAAGCTCAGCAAGGGCCTTCATGGCAGCTTCGTACTTAGACTCGAGCAATTCGTAGTCGTTCAGAGTGGTCTCGTGCTGCAAACGCAAGTCGAAAAGCTCTTGCGTCACCGTCTCAAGTTTGTCGGCTACAACCTTCGACTGAGTAGGGCTGGGAGACCGGCTTTGCGTATCCGAAAGTTCAGGTTGAAAGTGGTTTGTTGCATTTTCCAAGGTCTTCAAGTCGCGCTCGTCTTCTTCAGTAACCGACTGCGCATCAATTTGAGTCTCATCCGCAATTGTAGCCACTGGTTCGCTCAGTCCTTCATCAGATTCCGGGATAGCGGTTTCGGCAGCTTCAGTCAATACATCAAGCGAAGTTGCGCGCAAGCGTGGGTTGTAGGCGCCCTTGGTAGGAACACTGGAAACGTGCTCAAACTCATCACTGAGCTCTTCCTCCTTCTGGGCGCCGTTTTGTTGAACATGATCAAGCTCATAAAGAAGGTTATCTAGCTTCCCTAAGCTTCTCTGGCGCTCGACGACGTGCTCCAGTCGCTCCAGCTCTCTTTGCATCAGCTCCATGTCTTGATCCGCTTCGGCCAAGCGCTCCTCCAGAGTGGAAATGTATTCCTCACAATTGGCTTCACTTTCACGAGCACGGTTGAGCTCTTTGCGCAACTCTGACACCATGGCCTCCTGCTTCTCTTCGCCGAATGATTGTCCATCGAGCTTTGATTCCAGTTCGTGCAGATACGCTTCCGTGCTACCCTCGCGATCTAGAAGCTTCTGAATGCGGGACTGTAGCTGTGAGTTAACAGTCTCAACATAGGCACATTTAGTCTCGCGTTCAAGGAGAGTGCTTTCCGTCGTGGAGAGAGAGGACCGGGTGTTCGACAAAGAGGTTTCCAGGCTCTGTATAGTTTTCTCGTATTCGAGAACAACCTGCTCAATAGATTCTGCAAATGATTGAGACCGCTTGAGTCTCTCCACTGAGCTTTTGCCGACGGCACTAGCAATGTCGTTTGGATCTGTTTCAGCGCCTCTTTCAGAATCCCGGGCCAGCTCCGAGATAAGCTTGGCATGGCGTTGGCTGAGCGCATTGTAGCTCTCTTGAACATCGAGCAAATGGTTTTGAAGTTCAATTTCCCTCTCATTCTGGCGCTCCGTGCGTTCAGCTGGGGCGACGCTTCGTCGGTCCGCCTCTTCTGCGTTTCGTAATTGTTGACGCAAAAATGCCACCTCCGCCTTCAGTCGCTCAATAACCGCATGCTTGTCAGAATCATCGTTGACTTGTTGGATGCGCGGTTTGCTCTGAATTGCTCTAGCTCGCTGCGCGTATTGGACAGTGTTGAGCGTTTCACTCAAATGAAATTCAGGGGGAGTCACGCAGGCAATCATGTATGTATAGGCATTTCCACCGAGGGAGTCCTGGAGCAGCCGGGTAAGCTTCGAATCGCGGTAAGAAACGTGGGAACCCGCTTGGCGAGAAGAAAGCTGAGAGATAACTTTGCCGAGTGCAGCAAGCCCGGCATTGATCGAGATACCTTCCCTAGCCCGTTCGCCCGACGCTCCGGTGTTCTTTAACCTCTCACTTCCTGCCAGATCAACAAAGTGAAGCTTGCTATCAACCGTCATGGCGTGATCCGACCCAGATGTCATATCTACCGGCATGGACATTCGTTTGTCTTTAGGTGACACGATTCCATTCGAAGATTTCCGCTGCACCAGATTCAAGCTGAATACGGCGTGCGATCGTGAGGATTTTGCATTGATGGCAGTCGAGTCAGTCTGTCGAATCGAGGATCCGAAGCTCAAGGCGCCCATCAAATCTTCCACCGAATTGATATTGACCTGATGTAAGCCAGTGAGGATAATACGGCCTTTAGCATCTTCACGGATAGTGACCGAGCTGCGATCACTGAAGGGCGTATTGTCAGGGAGGAGCAAGTCTCTCAATTGCTCATTATAGATCTAAGCAAGTCAGTGGGGCAGTTCAGACTACTAATAGATGACCGAAGCTCTTACTTCAACGTAAGAGGCCTTGAGCTGCCAATTCTTCTCGACGCTCGCCTTTCCAGAACTAGAAGTGGACCCGACCGAGTAACGAGCTGGAGTCCGAAGACCGGATGAACTGTGACGGTTATGCTTGGGTGGGCCGTCTAGTTTCTCGAAAAGAAGTTGCGCGGCACGAGGAATGATTCCTAGGCTTGTCAGTATTTACCGCACCGTCAATTGCCAAAGCATGCGATACTCACCCATGGATTTCGGGTCGTGTTGTTCACTAGGTCCCGAGG